AATATTATGGTAAATGCATAATGCTCATAGCAAATACAAATACAGCCATATAATATAAAAGAGAATAAAATTCCAATTTTTTTTCAATTAATTGTCGTATGAAAATATGCACTTTGTATATATGATTTTAGAGACCCGAAAGTATAGACTTATAGCGAGAGAAAATGGGCAAATGACCAAATCGACGTGCTTCACTGCGATGTTATATCACACGTGTGCAAACGAGTGTTTTAAAATTTCAAGGTGGGCACACGGGATCCAGTATATCTAGCTAAGCATACAACGGTTAAAAAAAGAGATGGGCATACATCGAGATGGTAATTAAATTCACAAAGATATTTGTCCGAGCTTGAAGTATATTTTGCTATTGTTCTGTATTTTGACGCGAATGTGTAAATACATTTATTGAATTTGGTTTTTTATTTTTAATCATAAAATATGTTTTTAATCTAATGAAATTAGTTAATGTAAAGAGTATCGTTTGCTCCATTTCATTCAAAAATATAAAAAATTAAAAATTTTGCTCATTTAAATAATTCAAAAAAGTTAAAAAAAAAACATTAATTCCTTACATAAACATTTTTTGAATATGCAAATATAGTTGTAATTGCAGTATGGTTATACAATTAATACATAATTTTTATTTGGCTATAAACATTTTATCTCGGTACTTTCATTTCATTGAATTTTCATTACCAATTTGTTATCAACGAAATAAAAAAATTTAGCAATTATAATATTACAAAATCATTTCAATTAAATTTACATTAAAATTATCACGAAACAAACTTTAATATAATGATATACTTTTAATTAAATTATAATAAAATTTGTTAAATAGAATTATAGTTCTACTTCAATAATATAATTAAGTTAACAATTAGCATTAATATCTTTTATATTCCTGAAATTAATAGTAAACGTGTTTATACAAAATTAATTTCATGTTTTCTTTTAATATAAAAATGCTATTATTATACATATACTTCATATTAATCATACATTAAAAAAAAGTGAAATTACAGTCATCCACCGAGACTGCAACTTTGTAATATTATCAAAATAAGAGTCATATGAATAAAAAAAATATGAAAAGCGTTCAATCACTGACATCAAATATATGAATCATGGATATTCCTTATATTAAAGAATTCAAAATATTAAAAATGAATTTCCTTTTAATTTTTATAGCTGAGCAATAATTTTATTATTTATAAATTCTAATTTTATTATAATAAAGATCTTTTTGTGTTCATGCGATATTATTTATAGTTTATTTGTAAAAAAAAAAAATTCCTTTTGAAATCTCTGTAAAGAATATTAAATTTATTTGAATTGCAAACGATCTTAAAAATAAATTATATTGTTTCATACATCTATATTGAGTCTATTAAATAAGTAGTGTACCTTAATAAAAAATTATAAATTTGATAAATGCAATTGAAAAGGGTAATTTTATACAAATAAATGTATAATGTATTTAAATAAAAACTATTATTTTATTTATGTACTTTCTTATTCATTAATAGAAAGGCCATTTGCATAAAATATGGGAAGTAAATGGATTGATGCTAAAAATACTATGATTCCGATGTCTTTAATAAACTTCTCTGTTGAGTCACGTGCTTATTCACAGTTGAGTTTTAAATACATCCGAAGATGTTTATTCAACGAAACACATTGATGACTGTGCTACAAGAGTTTTTAAAATATTTTCATATAAAATTAAATTATTTATAAACACGATAAATTATTTATTAAATCGAATAGAGGATCGAGTGATAATGTTTGAAAATTCACTACGAATACGCTTAACGGTTCACTATAAATATATTACTTTTAATCATACACACTTAGAAAGATACTTATTATATATAAATTAAAAAAAGCATATCACACAAATTCGCTCAAACGATTATTTAACTTGCTAATAATATATAATAATTAAAAATGAAAATGCAATTTGGAGAATTGAATAAAGAGAAACGATGTAAGTGTAGACTAAAACGTATAAATTACACCATTAATTAAATAACCTGGCATCTTGAGCGATGAAATTTTAACGGCAACAACAAAGATGACGAATGTACAGGCGAAAAAACGGATTATTAACGCACAGTTAGAGACACCGAAAAATTGTATGGCAACGTGCGCGTTTATTAGTCTAATTTTCCTCGTACTGTATTGTTCTAACTTTCTTATTTTTGTTATTACAGGAGGACACGAAAGCGAAGAAACGCGTGCACATGTGCAATTAATGCTGCCTGCCTAGCCGTATAATAAGCGCACATCGGCTGCAGTGCTAACTAAAGAACCTGAACTGAGACGTGAAAGAAGCTCGTTCGCCTCGAGAACAGTAGTAGACTCGAGAGTACCGTCGATCTTATTATGGTTCTTCTACGTCACTTATAAAGACTGGCTGATTCACTCAAGAACAGATAAAACTAATGAATAATGAGATAATGATATATATATATATATATATATATATATATATATAAAGAGAGAGAGAGAGAGGGGGGCGAACGCTATGGTAAATAAAAGCTTTTATTTGTTTAATTTTGCAACGTAATTATTACCATATGTTCATTTAGCAAACTTATAACTACAATGATGGTATCAATGAACAATTAAAGCTTTTTAAGGTCAGCCTTATTGAACTACCATATAAGGTAATTGATTAATGATAAAAATATATTATAAAAATTTATTATTTATATGTAAATAATGATTAAGGATATTATTAAAATATATCCCTCTTATTATATATATTATAAATACATTTAAATAAATTCACGTACATTATCAGTATACAGTTTATTACATCAGTTTACATTACAGTTTGTCTTTTCTACGTTTACTATACTTATATTTCTTTTATATTTTATATTGCTTTTAATTAACTTCAAACAATAATACTAATGATAGTAGTAGTAATGGTGGTAGTAGTGGTGGTAGTAGTAGTAGTAGTAGTAGTAGTGATAGTAGTAATAATAATAATAATAATAATAAAATAAATATAAAGTTAAGAAAAACATATATTTTTTGTAAAATGCTTTTCTTAAAATTTAATTGATTAATATTATTAAAACAGTTCTTTTTATTTTTGCTATTATCTTCTAAATGAAATTATTAAGAATGAACAAAAATTATTAACTTCTCAAAATAAATGTTTTGCTTCTATATCATTATAAGTTCTCTTAAAATATTTTCTTTATTTTTTTTAAATTTAACATATTAATTTATTAAACTACTTATTATGATATTTACTACATACATGGTCTGTTCAAATTTGTACACTTTATTTATATTTATATATATTTATACACTTTATTCCATTTACACGATTTTCTAAATTTATTCGTATTTTCACTCGCTAACATTATAACGATTTTAAATAATAATTTTTAATATATTTTTAAATGCTGCTACAGACAAATTAATTTAAATATTTAAATATTTCATTCAAATCGTGACATACCAATAAATCCCGTAAATACTTATATCTTATATATCTCATTTTGAAGATAAAAATATTTTTGTATAATATTAGCATGTATATATTAAATTCATTTACTACATTCACTAAAATTTGAACTTTAAAATAGCTATTGCAATATTTGAAATAAATATTTATATATCTAATATATCTAAAGACAATAGAAATAAGTATTTTAATTATGACACGCTAATGAACATATTGAGCATATTAATTATTACACTGCATTATATCAACTAATTATATTGAATTAGGTATCACTATATTAAATATATAAAAATAAAATACTATAATCATTAAATAAACATTCAACTATTGTATTCGTTTGTCTAATACTTTATTATAAGTGTTTTTAATTTTTTTTAAAACATATTTGTAAATAAAGTAATTCCCCATACGCATTTAAATTTGGATGTAATTTGTATAAAGAGATATAATTGAAGTTTTTATTAATTAATTTTTCTATTAATTCTATGAAACTATAATTGAATTTTACTACATTTCATTATTGCGAGACAAATAAAATGTGAAAAAATTAACCTATTCGCAAATTCTGTTCTTTTTTCATGAATTTCGATGTTGTATTTATCTAATAATAGTTTCACTTTTTATAAAAATTTATTCCGGTATTGTTTTGCTTATTTTAATATTTATAAATTATTGATTATAATTAAAATGTTATGAAATAATTAAAAAATAAAGCAAAATGAAGGATATTTTCTAAAAATCAAATGATTCTAAATTAACCAATCTTAATAATTATTGTATTTAAGAAAAATGTAAATTATATAATTATGTTATTCATATAAAAATTAACATTTCAAAATAAATACAGAAGCACTTCATCTATTTAATTTATTTAAATTTAAATGACCTATAACACTTCTGCGTACGTGAGAATGAACAAACTTAAAAAATAAAATATATTTAGATACAATTTTGGATGATATCAATTAAATTTTACTTAAATTATAGTAAAATCTATAAAAATAAGAATATTAATTATTAAATATGAATATTTGAAAATTATTATTTTATATAAAAAATAATTTAAATAAAATTTAATTATTTTTTATTATTATTGAATTTTTACATTTAAAATAATTAAAAACTGATAAAATGACAAGTATATGAAACTTTAGTAAATTAATACAAAATCACTTTCTATATATATATTTATTCATTATCTATATTTATATATTTCTATTCTATAATATTATATTAATATAATTAATATTCTATAATATTATATATTATTGATCCAAAAAACAATAGGAAGTTTTATTTTTCCTAATGAACTGTACATATTCATATGTAGTATTCTTTGATGTAATATAAATTTGAAAATGTTTATGAATATAATATCACATTTTTTATTTTCAATGCAATAAAAATGTCTTAATACTGTTAATGTCATAATTAAAATAACAATATGTAGAATCCTTCTAATCAATTCATTTTCCTTTAAAGTAATATATCTATTTTAATCAAAGAATCTATTTCAGTAGCTATTTATTAAGATTAAAGAAAAATTGTATATTAAATTCTCATTTAAATAAAATTGTATAAAATAAGTAAAAAATTTGTATAGCTACTATTTGCATTTATTAATGATAAAGTACTCTTTTTACTATATTAGATAAAATTAAACCAAAATTATAATAAAATCTACAAATAATTTTTAAATATTTTTAATTGTAAGAAAATTTAAATTTTAATACACTTTGTTATCAGCAAATTAAAAATAAGGTTAAATGCAGGTATTATAAAATGAAAACAATTAATTTAATTCCTTTTACGTACCCTGTGCTTGATCCAGCCGTATTAACAATGCTTGTTTGATGTGTTGGTATACTACTAGTACTGCTTGTATTATTCTCACTGAACGTATTTCTGGAATTGCCAATATTTTTTCCAGCTTGAAAAGATGGGAATACGTTGATTCCATCTGTATTATTATTATTTTTCGAAATAGCTACTTCGGCACTGTTTGAATTTATTGGATGATCAATAAAATCACTTTCGGAAGATGAGGTAGAAGAGGGTCGACGCAAAAATTTGTTAGATGAATGGATATCGATCTTACCCAGTATAGATACTCCACCAATTGGCTGGTGGAAAAAAGAAATAATTTATATTTTTTAAGCAATTTCTTTTACAATATACCTTCCATATACTTTTTAATAATTACTCATGCTTCAAGAAGTAAAATTATAATATTCAAGGAATAATTAAATTTCATAGATTTAAAACATAGAGTATAATGAAATATTTATAACAATATACTTTTATAATATCTTGTTAATGATAATTTATTATAAAAATACAATGAAAAATTCTACGTAACAACGGATTTTTTTCAATTATTTAAATCAAGATCTTTAAAGATATATTTTGAAACAAATTTAAATAAATGCTTTAGCGTGTTATATAATTAACTAACTTATTAATAAAACTAAAATAATAAAAAAAAAACTAACTTAATAATAATTTAAAAATTATATATAATTTAAAAAATAAATTAAATATTAACAACACAAAGCGAGAGCTAATTAAATCAATCGCAATTAACTTTTAAAATATTTTTCATATATTTAATATTTTCATTTATTCAAAATTTCAAAATTAAATAACGAAAAAAAAGATAATTATACAAAAAATAATTTTTAAGAAATAAATGTATAATTTCAAAGTCTTCAATACTTTACAACCACTATCAGAAATGAAATCTTTCAATATATTTTTAAACATTCAAACAAATTTTTGTTTGAATGAAAAATGTATTTTTCATGAATTAATAAATTGACTTTAATATTAAATAGTATGAAAATAAAGCTTCAATCATAAGTAACATTTTTAATAAATCATAAACAAATCATTACTTTTTTTATAGGATCTATTGAAGCGATATTTGGAGATTGAATTTTCTTTGTATCAATCTTGAAAATATCATCTTGTTTTTGTTCTTCAAATAAATCTTTTACTTTATCATTTATTTCAGAAGTGCTTGTAGTTATATTGCTGATATTTTGTGTATTCTCCGTATTTAAATTTTTTTGTTTACTAATTACTTCAGATCTTATTATTTCGTTATCACAAGAATAAATATCTTTTGAAACTTTTTTAGAAAATATATCATCTGAATCATCAGAATCTTCTACATCGCCAAATAAATCATCAATTGTTGATTTCGGAGCTGATGCTATGATAGTAATAAACTATTATTATATACACGTATTCATATTGATAAGATTATATTTTTAAGATAAATTTATAAAAAGAGAAGTTATAAATTAAACATACAAATTATACTGAGTGGTGGAGGTACATCTATACTTGGAGGAATAATATTTTTATTTATAGCCCTTACAGGCAGATTCTTAATAGAAGAAGGTACTTCATCAACAAATAAATTTTTTCCTTCACTGAATAAATTATCAGACTTATTATTAAATACATCTGCATCATTTACTGAAGTGAAAATATCATCTATAAAATGTAAAAATATTTCTATATGATTAGATTTTTAAGATACACTTAAAAGTATTTTACCTTTTGAGCAATTTATTACTTGTTCATTTATATCCTGAACTATTGCATTTTTCTGGGAAGGTAAGACATTACCTAATCTTTTAGCTAGTTCTTCGGCAAAACTTGGTGGTGCATTATTAATATTTTGTATCTAATAAAATAAAATTTTTATTTTACTATATAAGAACTAAAACAAAATTTAATTAGTAAATATAGATTTTCTTATACTTTAATATGTTTAAGTATCTTTTTTCACTAAAATATTTATTTAAACGAATAAAATATAATGTTAATATTATTATATAAATATATAAAAAATTAATACCCTTGGTAAAACACTTGAAGGAGTTGTTGGTTCTGTATCCGAATTAAGAGTTTCTTGCCTTCTAGCATGAAATTGATTATCATTATCTTTATTACTAATATTATTCTCCTCAATATTAAATTCATTGGATTCACTTGATGTAGAGGATAATCGATTGATTCCTGAATTACTATGATTATTAGAACTTAAAATATTTTCTACATTTTTCTCTTCAATATCACTTATTGAATCTTCATTGTCATCACTTAGTTCTGATTCACTGCTACTTGACTCTAAACCAACTTTATTGGAAGCATTCCACTGCTCTGAACCAAAGACATACGGTAAAGGCCTGTCTCGATATGGATCTTTTGGCCTCAATATTACACTATTAAAACATTAATAATAATTATTAAATTTATAACTAATATCAGTAAATAAAGTACATTCAATTTTTTTTACTGAAAAATTGAAAGGTTATTTTATTATTTTAAAATTATATGTAAAGTAAAATAATATAAATTATAAAAAAGCTCATACTGTTATAAAAAAACCTAAATTATTGATATTTGATATAATCTTGATATAATTAATTATAATCTTATAATTTAAAGGCATAATATAGATAATACATAAATTATAATTAGACAATATCATACATAAATTTTCCTTTAAATTTACATATCTTACATATCTAACATACATCTAATATACATAATTTACATATCTAACCTTGCAATAGCATTATCATCATCATCTTCAGTATCACTCGCTGTAACTTCAACTTTTTCATATTTTTCATCCATAATACTGAGACCTTGTTTAATGCTTTCGCAAACACTAAATAATAAGTCTGTAGCACTGAATTCACAATCATCTTCACTCTGTTAAAATATTAGAGGTAAATTTTATTATTATTTATTGTTTATTCTTATTTATGCATAATTTACATTAAAACCATTAATGCAATTCTATATAAGTACTTTTGTAACATCTTCTGTTGGCTGTTCTATTTCAATATTATCTTCTTGAACTCGACTCTCTATAAATTGAGTATTCGCTAAAGCTAACGAAGTATTCATTATATTGTCAACAAGTATTGTTGTTTCATTTATTTGTGATGCCATAGAATTAATAACATCCTGTGTTTCATTCGCTTTTTTTGTTAAATTCTAAAATAAATTATGTATTATTAATTTAAAATTACTGTGACTGATTAATCAAATACCTTAATAAATAATAAAATAAATTAAACACAAATATTAACAATCATATGTCGGTTATATTATTTACTTTACATCTATTTATTTATTTTTTATATTTATTTTTCCAATTTTCTTTATATTTTGATGTTCATATTTTACATTTTTATAAATATTAATAATTTGAATTATATTAATAAATTATATAACAATCAATTAATTTATTTATCACATAGCCTTAACATTTTGAATATATACCTCTGAAAACTCTTGCAAATGTTTTAATAGACCAGAATCACCAGCAAGACTCCAATTTCTTCTGTTGTTTCGTATTTCTTCGGTATCCCAAGCATGATCCCAAGGCTTATTATTGCTCTCAGATCCAACTGAACTTTCCTATATTATAATTTATTAAATTACTATATCAATGTATTCATATTATATTAATGAAATAAAAATTATTTTCTAATATTATATTTACAGTTAGATTTACTTTCATCACAGAATAAAATAAGGTTAGTATGGTAGTAAAATATAATAAATATAAATATTTAAATTGATTCTCTTTACAGTTGGCGAGATAAATAAAATTCGAACATTACTTAATAATGTGCCAATATTATAATTGTAGTTAAATATATTTGATACTAAATATATAGATTAATATGAAAAATACCGAATAATAAAATTTCAAAATATTTATTGAACAATTTTTATTATATGTGTATTAATTAACCATTGATATACAAATTAAATGTACAAGTTATTTTATGATTCAAATGAATCTAATTAATGTTAATTAGAGGCTAATAGAAGATTTGTTTATTCAATTTCATTAAATAATTTTACTGCTGAAACTTTTAACAATATAGCAACATACGTATTGTATTAATATTTACAACATTCTGTGCAATTTATTTCAAACTTTATAAATATTCTATAAAATTTTTGTATCCAATATGCAAAATAATCTTATAAATTTATTTAAAATCGATTCAATAGCCTCATAATTTTGTTGACTTTTTACATAAACACCTTTTCCTGACAGTCATGTCATTAAAAAAAAACATGAAAACCGTGCTATTTATGCAACTAGTATTTTATGCTTACGCCGATGCCCCATTAATTTTTTAATTAAAAAAACTAACCATGTCAACATTCACGATGGTAGATTCTGAATAATTATAAGTTTTATTCGTGCGTTATTTTCACGACCTTCTTTAGCAACACATAAGAAGGTGAGCAAAATACAGGTCCGACTACTAACAGTAGATTCCAGGTTAACGACAAGGCTAGCAGTGCTTATTATTATTATTATTATTATTATTATTATTATTATTATATACATATGCATATATATATATATATATATATATATATATATAGAATATGTACATGCGTGGTAAAAACACAATATCGAGCCAAAGTCCTCCTCATTTAGATAGCAAAACTATTGTAAATAATCAATTTTAAGCAGACTAAATCTCAAATAATTCATCTAATTTTTAATAAATAACATATACTCAAATATCTATTTCATGTTTATGAAAATATTTGAAAAATTAATATATTTATCACGCATTTTTTTGCTAAACTAATTTGAAGAATAAATATAAAAATAAAAATATACTCGAGTAATTTGACTATTTCTTATCATCACGTTGTGGAGGTATTATAATACCATCATTTTACTACTATAAACAATTCAAAGACATATGTTTATATATGATTTTAATTAATAATTTTAAATACTTTTTGTAATAAATCGCTATCCAATTAAATTTTTTAAACTTTACAAACATCATCATCCTCGTTTGCGTTATCTGAAATTAATAAAATTTTATAAATTTACTTGGTATATTATATGCACATTTAATGTAGTAGATTAAAATATTATTAAAATATAATTAGTTGATACCACTAAACAAAAATTTAATACAAAGGTATATACTATACTTTTCTTTTTATATGACATTATAGAATTTCATTTTCTTACTATTTAAAATAAACACGATTTTTATATTTTATTTTACATATCAGGCAATTTTTATTTTAAATGATAATTTTTTAAGACTCGCTAAAGCATGATTAAATCGCAAACTATTCAAATATACTATTATTCCAGTATAAACAATTTTATTAACAAAATACAATCAATACATTTAAATAATTAATACAAAAGGTAAAGTTAATAATTATACATATTTTTTTTTTTAATTTCAATGGAGTTGATAATAAATTCTCTTCTAATTAGCAATTTCCTTAATATTGAAGATTAAATTAATTTAAAAATATATATTATATACAAACTCATATTTGGTGTATAATAAATATTGTGGTAACTCGTTTACGCGTAGCAGTTTCGAAATATAATAATTAAATCGAAATAAATAATTAACAATTAATATTAATAGCCAAGAAACATTCTCCGTATCATGCTCATTGAATCTGTATTAAACAATTATAACGATCAAATTATAAATATTTTCAGTTTATTTATCATGAAAAAATAAATACATACACACAGAAATGAAAAATGATTAAATGATTGTTTAAATTTTCTGAACTTGTTCGTCGCCTAAATATCAGCGCCGATATTATAATGCAATTTCGGTTAACAAAAATGATAAATGTTTTTATAAAAATAATAGATATTAACTATGTAAAGAAAATGAATGTTCTAGTAAAATTGAAATTAAATGTCGAAATTTGTTTATAGTGTTTATAGATAATTATTAACATTATGTAATGACTTTATAATAATGAATTATCAGATTATTTTAAATGTAAAAATATAGCCTATACTTAAATCTGTGTATAAATAATTTATAAATTCGTATGATTATATGTATTTACGCATCAAATATTTATTAATTTTGTTTTTGTAATTAAATTTCGAGTAATAATCGATTTAATATTATAACGCTTTCCATATAAACATGAATATATTTATTTTAATTGTGTACTATACAGTATTGGATAAGCCGATAACGCTTATTTGTAAAAATACTAATGTCACGTACGCGACCACAAAAAAAAATAAAGATATCATTCTTATGATAATGTATTGTAAGGACATAATTAAAGAATAGAACATTAATTAATACTTAAAAATATTGATTTCGGCACTAATTCATAAATTAAAGGGCAAATTATTTGTAGCTTATAAATTGATTTAAATTCATTCCCGATTACTGCTTACATGCTCTTAATATATTGAGAATAATAAGATAAAAATTATATTCCGCAGTCGGCGACGCTGCCAACCTGATCCCTCTCTTCTCATTTTTTGACGAACAGCTGGAAATCTCGGCGTTTCCGTTAAAATCCGTTTTCATCCAGTCACGTTCCAACGTTCCGCTACAGCGTCATACGCGAAAGAAGAGGAAAAGCACGAAAGAGTAGAGTCAATGAGAAAACGTACGGAATAGCAGTTACTGCAATTTTTGTGATTAAATATTGATACACAATCGCACAGTCACCTCCTCTTTCTTACAATTGTATAATTTTATGAAGTTTATCTGTCGTCAACGCAGAGCCATTTGTAAAACAAGTATTTATACTGTTTTGGTTAGTGTGGGGTACGAGTAACCATTGCTATCATACCCATTCATTTTTTATCCAATCACCAATGTTGCCTTGCATTTGTATTATGCATCTGTAAGATACACACTCAAATGTGTGCATGGATCGGAATTATTGTCAACTCGGTGTTTAACAGTTTAATTCTTTAATATGCCGTCGTCACTTAGGAGAACACGGAACCTGCGATTTTGCAGATGCGAGGATTTTTGCACTACTGCTAGTTACACGTCCATGACTGTGAAATTATTACAACAGTACTAAATGCCAGCTAAGCCAAGTACAGGTAGGAATTTTTACTTTTATTGTTTATTGCTCAGTTGACCCATATTTATTTTAATGTTGGATTCCTTGACTTATGCAAATTTCAAACAAAATTCATATTCTCTAAAAAGAAAATAAGAAATTTGTGTAAGAGAAAATTCTGTTAGAAATATTTAACTCCAAAACTGCATTATATCATTAAATAGGTAGAGAATAATATTTGTGCTATATTAAGCACTTTCTCTTCATAATTTTTTATAAGTGTCAGAAATAATTAATTTTACATTTGAATTTTAGAATGACTATTCCTTAAATATTAAAATTGGATTTATACTTTTAATAATTTAAATTTTTTAGATGAATTTAACGAAACGTTTTTTATTAAATTTACCAAAATAAGAGTTCATTATTAAAATATTTAATTAAAATCATTTTAATAAACCTGACATAAACTAATTATTTATAATTATTTGATTATGTATTTGTATCAATTTATTTATAATTATACTTCTTGATGATTGAATAAAAATTATAGTATGATTTTAGAAAAATTAATAAACCACTATCACCATTCTATTTCTATGTTCATTTCAATTAGAATTTAACCTTCTTATATTAACTTTAATAATTATAGATTATTATATAACTATATTATTAGTGTATGTATATATAATAAAGCACATACTCGATTTGCACCAAATAGCTTAATTAAATCTAACTATATTAATTTCATCATACAAATCGATATTTATTAAAAATATATATTTTATTATAATGATCCTAAATCAAATATTTTTATAAATTATATATTTAATGACTATCGATGTATATTAATATAAATTTTGATCAAATTATTATGAAATTTCAATCGTAAATGTATTGAAGAAAGGTTGTTTATATAATAACTTTTTTTTGTTTTTAATTATTTATCTATTTATTAATCTTATTAAATTAATTAAAATAAAATTTATGATTATATGTTATAAGTTAATTTTATTGTTAATGAGTTTAAATTATATATTTATTTATTTAAAATATTTCAGAAACTACGTAAACAGAACAATTAAATATCAGTTAAAATTTAGACTAATTTTTTAAAAATATCTTTCGTCTGCTGATCTTAAAAGTAGTCAAGAAGTTGATCCAAATCAAGTGGCTTGAACCTAACTTCAATAACAGGTATCATTAATATAAATTTCTATTTCATTTCATACATATGTATTAACCTCAAACTTGAAAAATAATTCTGTATAAATTGAATTTATATTTTTCTCATTTTATTCTTTACTTATTAAACAATTAATGTAAATAATTAAATAACGTTTGCTTTATTTTACTTTCGATGTATAATAATTAATAATTCAGATACTTCAACTTTTAATTAAAATTTATATAAAATTATGTTTCAGGTACAAGCTACATTGAAACATGTTTAAAAAATACATAATGTATCCACAGGATGTAGGAGGTAGCATAATTGGGCAGTGTGAGCCGAGACAGCATTGCATTTTGTTCAGTTGATATCTTTGATAAGCTCTTAGATATTTATTAATTTTTTTTATTAGTGCCGAATTCATTGGCTTATTATTTTTAAAAGGAGGTTTGCACCTCCTGTTGTCATATATTATCGATTAATCCTGGAAAACAAAAATAATACCTTACATGAAGTTGAAGAGACGTATCACGGAGAGGTGGGTTCTCACATGAGAAGGAACAAAGTCACTAAGCTAATTCCGATGAACAATGAACCATTCCGGAAGCGGTAAACGTCAGGCGAAGGTTTTGGAAGAAAACTATTGGGACTGCAGTGTCTGTACGTATCGTAACACAGCCGAAGCATTCAAGTGCCTAATGTGTGACGTACGCAAAGGTACCTCCACGCGGAAACCGCGAATAAACCCTCAATTGGTGGCGCAGCAGGTATATAAATAACACAAATTCTTTTATTTTACATTTATCTATAGACTGTCATTACAAATATACCTTTATTCAACATAAAAATTTATCATTTTCTCTAAGAATTTTATTTTTGACTTAATATAAATAAGTTAATTATATTTATTCTTTCCAAAATTTTATTAGTAATTAAACAATATATCATTATTTTTTACATAAACATAAAAAATAGAAAGTTATAGGATACATACAGAGAGCATAAAATTATAAATTATAATATATAATAAAATATATATATAATATATATATATAAAATATATATATAAAATATATAATAAAATATTATAAAATAATAAATTAATACAACAAATTTTGTATAATAGAATAGAAAAGGAATAAATATTTTTTATGCTTATTAATAGGTAAAAATATATCTTTTCTTATACATAGAGAATTATGAATTAAGTAATGTTTTAAAGTGACAGTTTTAAATGAAATTTAATCATATTAAATGACAAAGATTATAATAATTTCTTAAATGTGCAAATAAAACTTTTAAACATAGTTAATAAAGAGAGTTATATTTTGGATATTAAACATATTTTCACTTATTTTTAATCCATAGATTAAATCATGACAATGGATTCCCTGTACAAAAAAATTGAAACTTTTACTTAAATTGCCTCTTACGTATTATGCATTTCTTAAATAAATGAATTACTACTTTATTGCAATGTTATGTGATATATTATTTTAATTATATTTACGAAAGGACTTCCTCCACATGCATAAAGAACACTATATATTTTTAAAGCTCTCTTGTAAACTGATTTGCTAAAAGACAGTAGTACGTTTTAATGTATGTTAATAATTAATAATATGTAATTGATTTATCCATTTACACACTTTATATTATCTAAGCTCATACAAAAACACGCACATAATAATGAAAGAAAAACAAAAACATAAAAAGCTCCTGAGCAGTAAAAAGGTCAGGTCGGTCAATGAAAATCAGCGTAACGGTCGACAGGTGGCCCAGCAACAATACGTGCCGCTGCTGAAGCCCGGCAAAAAAGAAGGCGGCAGCGGCTCGTCAACCACGAGTGGAGGGGGAGGCAGTCTTAGTAAGGACGGCCGGCATAAACTGGATAAACCAAGGCGTAAATCGAGACATCCGCCACGACTGAAGAACATCGACCGCAGTACAGCCCAAAGCAACGAGGTAACAGTAAACAATGTCACGGTAGTCATTACTGAGTATAAGCCTAAGGTGAAGAAGGGCAGTAGTGACCAGTCTGGATTATCCAGCAGTGCATCTTCTGAAAATGGTAGCCAACATGACTCCAATCAGGACTCAAGGAGCTTAGATATTGGCACCGATGCTTGAAAGAAAAGTTGATATATACACAGTGCCTCGTTATGAACGATGCAGGAAGGCTCAAAAGAGTAAAGTCCTCAGACGTTCGTTAAAGCTTGTGCAGAAAATGTGTTGTATTATGTGTTTTGACAGTTCATATTTCGATGAATTAGAAAGATCTGCAGTGAAAATTCAGTGGAAGCTAGATTTTTTATTTGTAAATTAATGTATATCTTCATGCATTTTAAAAATCTCTTGAAATATTACATTAATATATGTAATATTTCAAGCAAATTTATTAAAAAAAAAAAATTAAATAAATAAATAAATTATTATTAGAAAGTACAATTAAAATAATATAAAACTTCAAGTTGCAGTTCTAAATAAACAGCTTTTACATATTTATAAAATTTGAATAATGTGATGACACGAAAAAAAATAAAAAATTTTTAAAAATGTTCAGTTTATATTTAAAAATCAAAGATTTAATAAATTAATGAAGTATATTTATAAATAAATGTATAATATTGTTTAATTAATTGATTTAACGTTTTTTTCTTCAAAATTTAGTTTACAAGAACTTCAAAATTTGTTTCAAAATACATTTGATCTATTTATTTTAAATCTATTTATTTTATTAAAAATTTTCTATTAAAAAAATTGAAAATAGAGTATTTTATGCAACACATGAAAATAAATAGGGAACACTGGAGTGTAAACAAATTTAAATAAAATTATGTATTGTAATGGTCATCCAAACCAATTGGATTATTTATTCATATTTAATATCACATTTTATTTGCCAAGTTATGAAAATAGTTTACAAATACATTCAATTATCAATAACATTTAAAGTTTTTATTTATCCCTACTAAATAAGATAAAAATAATTAACTATAATTTAATATATTTGTGATATACTTACTAGGATAAATAAATCTTTCAGCAATTTTTTGTTGAAAGATTATATAGAAAATACATACTTAAAAGAATTTTATTGCATATCTTCCTTTACAAGATAATTTATGTAGGAATTATATTAAACAAAGAAACATTGTATAATAGATTTGGAAAAATTCTGAAATCTGTTAATCTTCATACATGATGACCATGAGAATGACCACAATACAAATTTTTTTACGATACTTTAATAAGTGATCTTACAGTAATACCATATTGTCGTAAAAATTAAATAATTAATGTAAAAATTTTGAAAATACTTTAATATACTATAATATAAAACGAAATCTCAGCATAAAGTAAAATTGAGCACACTTTGTTCCATTGAATAGACTTTGCAATTTCAACTATGAATTGGATTGTTATTTAATGGAAAAACTATTCTTCTCATACTAGAAAGTATCTAACAGAATATATTATATAATGTAAAACAATATTGTTCATTTTTTCAAAGGATTTTTATCGACATCGCCAATTATTTTGACGATATATTATAGAACGCAGAAAAAATATAACATAACAAATATAGACGTTTTATGCTATTAATGGCTACGAGTTTATATGATGTGCAATTTATAAAAATAAAAAATAAAAAATAAAAAAAAACAAGTTATTCAAGTGCCTTTGGCTATTATTTGCTAAATGAAAAAGAAATCTTGCTACTACCAATTGTATATTTGTACAATTTTTTACACTCGTAATTGGTCGACTTGTCTTTTTAACACTGTTCGTTATTCGTATATTATTTATTTGAATTAGAATATGTAAAATGTATCTTTGATCATGAATTATTTCATCGTGAATAAAAAATTTAAATGTTGTTTGGTTTTAAAAATTAGACGATAAAAATTCAATATTTTATATGCCTTTGAATTTACTAATCCTACATGCTAATGATAAAAAGCTCTAAATTATTGCCATTCATAATTTGAAAGTTATACATACGTTTATTATTAAATATTAAGTAAAAAATAACGAGTCTAATTTTTGTTAAAAATGATATTTTTTAAATTCAAATAAAGACAAAACAAAATTATTTCATTTTTATAATTTTTAAATGTTTTTATTTTTATAAAATTTAAATATAATTGGGTAATTAACACGAAATTCTCGTTATTTATTTGCGATTTACATCTTATAATTTCAATATAATGTTTTGTTTTTAATAAGCAACTTTCTTGGTTGATATATTTTTGCCTCTGGACGGTATTTCGACTACTTACAGATCATTAATAAACCATATTTTAGTACTGTCAATATAAGAATTGTAATTCGTAAATTTTATAACGACTCTCTTTTTTTACTTCGAATAATTAATATCTGGAATAACGAATAATTTATCTTTAAAATTAATATTCGCAATTTTTTACAAAAATCATCATACAAAATTTAATTATAGACTAAAGTAACGTATCAAAGTAAAGAATTTAATTTGGATTACAAATTGTATAATGTATCAACTATAATAATAAACATTTTTAAGCAAATACGAGTTTAATTTAAAGTTCAGAAAAAACTTGTCTATATAGTATTTATAATACATTTCTTCAACAATTAATCTAAGATAGCATTTAGCATAAGTCACAAACATTAGTAATTTTATACATTGAAAATATTTAATCTTACTAATAAATTCAATAATAACTATTTATACAGCTTACACAAATTTTCATAAACAAGTTAACAAGGAATTTGTACAATTATTATTATAAAGACCATTATTAGCATAATTTGTCTAACATTCATCGTCATTTAATTTATATAAATACTGCCGAAATGCAAGTTAAAAAGTTATTTATTAAAGAATAATTATACCAAATACGACATATGTTGCGTTATTTTGTCTGAGTATCTAGAATTGTTATTTCGAAATAAGTACTTTTTATTTATTTGTAAAATAAAAAGTAATCAAATCATTTTTTCAGTTTTAGAATTTCTGATTTTTACAGATTTTAAAGTCAGTATATTAGACTTATGTCATTATTATAATGTGTATAATTTTCTTTTTTTTTTTTTTTTAAATTTTATTTATAAGCAGGATATGTATTTTTCATTTCTCTTATACTCAATCATTTGATATATATAATTCATGTTAAACAGTCAATATTTGTCAAATTTTTAATAAATTTCATAAAGATTAAGTAGTTTTTTTTAGGTCAATTATAAATGGCAGTTTGATTAATATATTATATTTATTATTTCATATTTAATATTAGCTTACTGAAATAAAATACGCTCAACACTGATATGATCTACTTTTGGTTACTTTAATATTTCTGTCTCTGCTGCTAATAATATACCAATATAAATTTTATTTATTTTATCCTCGATAAACTTAAATTATTATCACTTATAATTAAAATTTTGCTGAATTAGCTTTTGGACAATGTTATAAAACATATTTAATTGCTAAATGTTTTATTTATTTTTAGTTACATTCTTTTTTTTTAATGACGTAACTAATTAATTAATTATTAATTAATTTATTTTATCTAATAAATTAATTTTGCAGAAAAAATTGTAAAGAAAATAAAATATATTTATCATTAGTATTAAAAAAAATTATGAAATTAAATGAAACAATACAAATACATAAACAGTTTTTATTTCAAATTAACAAGATACTCCAATCTAATTCATTTTATTATCATTAGTAATTTTATTTAGTATAAATGTGATTATTTTAATTTTTTCTACTATAATACACTTATAATGAATGAGAAAAACTAGCGAAGAAAAGCATTAGATTAAATGAGCGAGTATGTGATCTGTATGCAAACTTGTATAAGTGATATAAAAAGGTATAAATAAATAAATCACTAATATTCACGTATAACGAGGAGTTAGTGGTTGAAATAACATTTTGTGAATTGTAAATCGTCGTTTTTATATCTTGTCAATTGATCATAGTTTTCCTGAAAACTACTGAACATTTTTGGTAATTCAAGTTAAGAAAGCCTTGCACAACTATTTTAAGAATTTCTTCATCAAAAATGATTTTTGAGTTAAAATTAGTAATTCAATTTATATAGAACGTACCTTAATTATTTATCTTTTAATATTTAGTAATATTTAATGTTATATAAAATCAGTTGACAAGATTAAAGTATATGAATTCTAATAAAAATATTATAAAAAAATGACAGATGAAAATAAATGTTCTAATGTAGGAAAATGTAAATGACGACTTGGAGAAAGTTGATGTAAAATATTAAAATATTAACAGAAGTAAAGTTAAATACTGCCTTTGTACCTTTATTTTATACCTGTAATTTTAAGTACGTTTATTTTTTAAAGTGAAGAGCTCAATGCAGTATAATTTCTTAATGTTAAACACACGAACTTCGAACAAGCTTTTAAATTCAATATTTAATTAAAAGAAAATGTATCAAACTTAAATTATATGAAAATGTAATTTTACATTTGCGAAATATGTAAAATGTTTTTCTCGTAAAACCAACTTATTCGATGATTTCTGTTTCGTTTTGATTTATATCTTTCCTTAATGTAAATATAAATAAATTGTATTATTAAATATGAACAGCGAATATTGCAAAGCATATTTGTTGTTTCAGCTGCAAAAATCGAAATTTTTAAGGATTCAATTTTAAAAGTGTATTTCATCAATTATGGAAAAATTTTGATTGATTTCATTTTATTATAAGAAAATACATAAAAATTTGTACTGAAAAAGTATTTATATTTATTGATGGTAATCTATGTTTACATGTATATTACATGAATTATTTATTTGAAACTTGAACGTTTGAATTTTTTTTTCTTTTTTATGTTAACTTTTTGTTCCAAATTTATCGTTCCAAAATTTTCTGTAACATCCATTACTTCACTCTGCACGTTGTTTTCAGTTTCTTGCAAATTATTTTCACCTTCAAATTTTTTTGGCGTACGATTTTTAAACGTATTAAAAACTGTAAAATATTAAATGTCAAATTAAAATTCAATAGTTTTATACAAAAAATAATCATATACCTTCATCCACAGTTTTGAAGTCGAATACATTTAAATTATGCGCTTTATTATCTCCTCCAGCAGCAAATGTAAATGGATTATCACAGCTAGCCTCCAGACAAATAATATGACCCAAGTTTGTCTGTTTTTCAAAGACTAATTGTGGTTCCAAATGATTTATAACATCCCATACTTTAACAGTTCCATCTTTATTAGAACTGAATAATAATCCTGGGCATAAGGTACTCATAGATAAACCTATGAATGAGTTATTTTTATGTTATATGGATTAAAGTATTTATAAACTATTGTTCAGTTTTCATTTAAATTTAAAAAAATATTAATACGCATGTCATTATATATTTTAAACAAAGTGTTGTAAAATAAATAATAAAATATCAATTAAATGAACTTTAATTCAAATTAATTGTTTTTTATTATTTCAACAACAAAAAACTTGATATGTAATAATATAATCTTATTTATGTAAGAAATGGTTAATTAAAAAATTTATTTTATATATATTTTTAAAACATAACAGTTATTAAATATTAACATAAATTCATACCAGCAACTTCTTCTTTCTGTACATTATGTTGCCATAATGGCTTATCACATCTAATATCAATACATTCAATGTATCCATTGTCTGTGCTTATCTAAAATAAATTAATTCAATCAATTATTGTAAGTATGTAAATTCAATATGTTGTTATAATTACTTAAATATGCAATATATACTTACAAAACATGTGTTAGGATCAGAATTATTCCATACAACCTTTTCAACTTCGCCCGAAGCATTCCATATTTTCGGTATTTCAGTATTACAATCAAATAATCGTACTTTCCTTGAAAAAATATAAATATTAAATAACTTAGATCATGTAATTTACAATTTTAATTTCACATGAATGAACCATTTAAATGGACATTGATTATCACATTTTTCTTTTGAAACAAAATTTAAATAATTTCAATTCTAAAATCAATAACAATTGAAACAAAGAAGATTCACATTTTCTTGGACATAAAATAAATTCACAAATTTTCATGGAATTATTTACTACGAAATAAAAATATTTTATAATAAAAAATTATTAACGATTAAATAATAAATTTTTTATATTAATATTTATTGTATGCATAAATGCAATTTTTATTTCACTCTTTAAAAAAGATTATTCACAATAATAAACAAACAAAAATGAATTTGAATATATATATATATATATATATTTATATTATTATATATTTTTTTATTTATTATAATTATACATATAATATATAATATATATAATATATAATATAAAAATAATTACTTGTCCATGCTTCCTGTAAGTAACATATGAGAGTCTGTTGGATGCCATTTTAAACTTTGAACTATTCCATTAAATGAACTTAATATTGTGTTTGGAGAACCAGTTTCTAAATCCCATAGTATTGATGTACAATCTGCAGAACCACTTGCCAGAACATGACTATAATGAAAAAGAAACTTAATAATTTTATCTAAAATAAAATAGTCTATTACATTATCACATTATTATCATAGCTTAGACAATATTAATAATAAAATCGATAATACTTATGATATGTATTCCATGCTAAATCGAGGACTGCATCTTTGTGCCCAATTCTTTTAATACGCTTTTTTTTATTAGACTTTTGGCCTAATTTAAATACAGAACCAACTCCTCCTATTACATCTAAATCCCATACTTCTATAATTGGAGTATCGTTTCCAATTGCACATAAATTACCTAAAAAAATTATTTTTTATCAAAATTCTGTGTAAAATATATAAATATCAAAGTAATAACTATGTATTAATAATATAATTAATAATTATATATATATATATATATATATATATATATATATATATATATATGTATATTACATTCGATTTACTTAGACTTGTTACCATTTTATTAGTATTTATTTATTCTTCTTAAAATTATTAACATATTATATCAAGTACAATTAAAATTGAATATGAATTTGTTAAAAATTAAAACAATTTTTTAAAAAATTTAATAAGTAAATTAAGATAATAAGATAATCGAGTTATAATTTTTAACTGCGAAACATATGAATAAATAAATAATTTTTATTACATTCATTTTCTAATTTATAACAGTAATAATATTTACCAGGTTTTTCTTCAGCGGGATCAAAATTTAGCCACTCAAAACATAATGGAATGTAAGGTAAATAGTCATGGTGATGGCAATAAAATGATCCTTCTGCTTCATTATAAACTATTAACATAAATTATTTATGTAAAATCAATTGCTTTACTTAATAAAATTTAAAAATATAAATTCTACCATATACTTCTAAAATACTGGCTTCATCTACTACATGTCCTACTAAGAGAAGATTATCATTTGCTTTAATAATATCATCTTCTTTTTCTGAATCATCTTCATTATCATCTACTGTTATAAATGGGTCTTTTTCATTATTAATTACTGCGATTCCATTAATATTACAGTATATATTTCCAGCTGCACATTAAAATAACAATCAAAATATTGAATAATAAAAGAAATATAAGAAATGTAAATAACTAATTGTGATTAAAATGAAATGTTAGTAACATTTAATATAACAGATATGATTTATTTATAAATATTTCTGAATAAAAGCACGACAAGTAATTTTTCAATGTTTCACAAAATATCTCAAAATTTTTATTATTTACGATATGTCAGAAATATAAAAATCATTTTTATAATAATTACTAAGAAAATTTATTTGCCATAAAAATTGTTTTAAAAAAATATATAAATTTTTATGGGATATTTTGAAATATTATTTATGTAATGGGATAAACGCTAACTTTCAGTTTTAAAGTTATAGCCTTTTAAAATAATAAAATACTATTATTATTGTGACCATAAAAAAAATCTGTATTAATAATTTTTAATTTACATCAATGAAAAATTTTCATTAAAGATATAAAGAATGAAATTATCTCTATTAGCTATGATGTCTAGTATTTTATACAATTATAAATTAAAAGATAAATACTATTTTAATTCACTAACATTCTTCATCATATTTTTCAAAATCAAATTCATCTGTAATTTTTATTGAATCATCTTTAACATCTTCGTCGATGTTAATATTATTAGTATCTTCGTCACTAGTATTTTCATCTTTATTTTGCCTAAAAAAATTATTTTATTTTTGAATGCGCAATAAATATTACTTATTGAAATATAAATTAATAATACTTTTGCAATTCTGAATGAGTCTCTTTTATAATATTTTGTAATTCTTGAGCAGTTAACTCTATCTAAAATAATAAAAAAATATATCATCGATTTAAATAAATTAAGTACTTAATTTTATGAAGAAGAATCTAACCTTATCAGGTACAGAAGCAGCAATTCCTTTTTTCACCCAATTCAAACAAGATATATAATTTTTTTGCTCTGGTTCATTAGTTTCTTCATCCATTCTCTATTTATAATTAAAACAATTTATTTTTCAACAAGTATATCTTTCTTCGCCTGCACTTCACAATTCTGAAACTATTATTGATTGTTAATCAGTTCTAGTATTAATTACAAAATTGATCACTAACTTAAATTTTCAAACATCAAATCACAGATGACTGACTAGAGTTAAAATTTTATCCTCAAATTTCGTTTGTAATCGGCTGCTCGACACACCGGTAGTGCTGTTACTCCACGTTGCTTCAACTTTACGTACCTTATAATTCACGTGGATCGTGATCCATAAACGCAGCTGGATCGCAAACAATGATCAAAATCATCGCGGGTTTATGAGTAGCGCTTATTCTATATCGAAGAATACAAAAAATATTATACCATTATCTTGCAGCTCCGTTTAATTTCTATAATAAACGCGTAAATTACGTGATCGAAAATTTTCGATTAAATAATTTATTTCTTCATTTTCTGTTCAATTTGGATTATCGTAGTTTTTTTAAAGAATTTCAAAGTTGATTTTTTATTAAAACATTTTTTATTAAATTCAATATTTTTACTTTATAATTCTGAATAGCTATTTTTAAAATTAAAATTATATTCATGCATTAATTAAAATGTTTACAAATATATAGATAATTTTTTCTAACCTATAAACTGAAGATAGTTATCTTAAACACAATTATATAAAAAAATCCTTCGTAATAGAATTAAACGCATATACAAAACCGAAAAACAGCTACTTTTAAAAAACAATTAAAAATATATGTGTTTATTAATTAAAAAATATATATTTCCAGTATACTTATATAATGTAATCTATTGTAAATGTTAATCAATTATATAAGAAATTAATAATGTTTATTGTATAGTTCTTTAATAAATATACCCAAGTAAATCGGTAAATTTACATAACTAATATAATTATTATGAAATTCGATGCAGTGTTGAAACATTATAGTATCATTGATGAAAAGCAGATAATTAAACTGTGTCAATGATTAATAATTGCTTATACTACTCAGAATCCAGAAATTTTCGATTGAAACAATAGATGTTTAATTATTTTTGAATTTGTTAAAATTAGCTTCAATATTTATATAAATAAAAATGCATGTATAGTTTTTATATATGATGTGAAGCATGCTATTTTTTATATTAACCCTTGTAATTAAAATACTAATATATATATATATATATATATATATATGTTATATCTGACATTTTCCATCATTTTCAAGTTGATCTTTTTTCACCTTTCTCTATTTAAAGTCTATTTAAAGTGAAAAAATACTACGTTATTTTATTTTGTTATATTAAATATGGTTAAAAGATTGTTTTTTTTTAATTGAGCGATAGGAAATATATGCAAATATAAATATGATTGCCTCGTGGATTTTCAATAACAATTGAATCATTAAAAACTATCATTTTCATATTATTTAAAATTTGAATTAATGTTCGAAAATATTTTCGCAATTGAAATAGGAAATTAATACTCTCCGAAAACAATCGTTTTATATAATTAAAACGACTATTCTAAAAGAAATGAAATAATGTAAATATTTATTGTGAAAATTAAAAGTTTTAATGAAAACGAAGTATTTTTTAACAATTCAAAAGTAAGTCATAAATTAAAGCAAAAATATTGTAAATTAATTTTAAAATTTATTTTAATAAAAGATTATTTTTTTGTGATTTGTCTAAATCCTAATGTTTTTCGTAAATACATGTTTATACTTATATATATACATATATGATTTTTGTGAGAAATCTTCATATTGATTCTTAGGTTATTTATTTAATTAATTATTTAGCTCCTTAATTCTTAAAAAAATTGATATATTTTTATAATTTCAAATTTTATAACTTAACAATTATATGTTTAGTATTTATTAAAGTAGTATCTATCATTTATATTTAAGATTTATTTACAACTTCAATTACATAAAATCAATCACATTATTTAGTTCCTACAAATATAAATAATGACTAATAGTTTTTCGATGTTATGTGTTATTAAAATAAGAATATAATAATTGTGTAGTATTTTCTCTCGGTTAACCTAGCCAATGTATTCTTCAATCTAATAGTGAATGTCTTTTTATTCTGCTATAATGAAAAAGTTAGTTTTTATCTGTTAAGTGTAATACATAAATCAAATAAAATATTTGAAGAGTTAATACAGGACTAGTATTGTTGGCTGTTGTAAAAATTTATTATTAATTATTGCTGATCCTATAATAATCCCTTTGAAAGGTATAAGTGACTGATGTATATTTTGCACAAATATTGTAAAACTATTTATAATTACTGTGTTAATCATAAGATAGTAAAAAATATTAAAAATCAGAAATGCAAGATTCAAAGCAAGGTAAATAACGACTGCGGTTAAATATTTTTTACATATATTTAAAAAATCGTTTTAACATTAAAATCAATGCTTAGTTGTCATAATATACAATTTTTACTCTATAATTATCAATATTACTAGAAACTTTTCTTTACAGCATTTATTCCATAAATATTTTAAATGATTTATTAATAGATTAGTAACATAGGATAATATTAAAAAATACTATTTTTCATCCTTTTTTTAATCTTAAGATGGCATTCTAAAAATCAGATCAATTAATAAGTATCGGTCATAATAAAAAAGATATAGTATTCTTTTATAATATTAATATAGTATTTATAATATTAATAATATTAATATATAATTCCAGAATGAATGAATAATGCAATGAATTAAATATAAATTTAAAAACAACAGCATTAAGAGAAAAATGTTAGAAATTATTTGTTAAATGTATCGGAAAATTTTAGTGCTTTTCTTTCATAACTTAGATAGCAAATTGCTAATTGTTATAAAAAAATTTATCGAACCACGGTATTTCCAATTATTGACAGATATTTTTATTTAAAAACTCACGTGTCATCATTTCGAATAGTTTCAATTGAATATTTCAAAGGAAACTAAATTTTCAAACAAATAGTATTTTCAATATAAACAAAATTGAACTTCCATTTTCTTCCGCAACTGATGCAGTGATATAATTCATTAACTCAAAATTCTGACAATAATCAACGTTAAATATTAGGCAAGGCTATACACATATCATCTTGGCTGTAAATTCTAATATTTAAAGAAGATACTTAAAATCTACAGTCAAATAATCTAACACACACACACATATATATATATATATATGGATATACAAAAGAATTTACTAAATACTTCGTTAATTGTATCTTCACTGTTTTGAATTATGTTTTTAGGTGAGGTTCGAAATGTCAATTAAACAACATTACTCGGTTCTTTAATGTGCTTATATTATATAGTCAATATACATATAAATAAATAATCAATTTTAATTTTAAATGTTTATTTTTATCAAAATTATATATTTTTGAATATAGATATATGTAGTAATCAACCCTATTAATTAGAATTTACTAATTTTTCAAAAGAAATCCTTTTCTTTTTCTTATCAAATACAAGAAATAATATATTATAAATATATATTATAAATTCTTTACATTAGAATTATTTTAAATACCTACACTGACTAAAACTGTTTATAATTCGATTGTTTAATTATTATTTTTTTAAATAAATAAAGAAATTAATGTAAATAAAAACAAATATTTTCTCTTAAAGCATTTATTTTTTATTCTAGAATTCCATAAAGTATTAACTTATACTAATTTTTCATTTAATGACTTGCAAAATTTAATAAAAATTTTATGAAAACTAAAATAATTTTTAAAATAAATTAATATTCAAAATAGTATATGCACTATTTATAAAATAACTATACATTCTCTTCAAAATCTTATAAAACACATATTTGAGGAGAAATAAAAGTTGTTTTTAATATATTTTTATTAGAATATTAATTGATATAAATATTGATATATATGGTATATAAAGATTTATATTAATTGCTATAATTTAGAATATAACAGTAAAATATGATTTACTTTCAACACAAAGGGTTATGAATTATAATTGATGAATATTTATATTATTTAATAAAAAGAAATTATGTAAGATGAATATATTTTGTATTTTGTTGATAATTAATTTTTAACATTTTGAAGACTTGTATTTCCTATAAAATAAATCTCAAAATTGATTTTTATTACTGTTATAATAATGATTTAGTAGAATGCTGATATTAAATGATGTTCAATGATTCATGTAAAATGATTTTAATATTTAATCGTAAGTTAATGTTTTTATGTTAAATAATCAAACGCATTATGTAAAAGATATGATAATTGTATGAATATTAATTTAATAGATAAAATTTATAAAATAGGCTTGACTATGACTTTGTCATCTCATATATTTGACTAGTTATTATGCTATTAACGTATTTAATTAATTAGAAATTATTTATTTATAAAAATTATTATTTAATCCACTAATGATATATGATAAAAAATGGTTTACCGTTGCACTAATCATATGAAAATACAAATATAATTTTCAATCGTTACGACATTAAATATTTTCAAAAAAATTTTTTGCTTTACATTCCAGTAACAAGAAGATTAATTTACAATTTACATAAATATTTATGTAGTTTTTAATAAAATGATATATATCGTGACGAAAAACAAATCTTTATGATTGATCTAAAGTAATTTATTTTTTAATATATCTTTATCAGAATATTGCTTTAACATGAACATAACTTTCTCACTATTGGCATAAGAATTTTAATGAATTAATATCTTATAATTATAATAAAATCTTCAAAATAATTTTCAAAAGAAATCAAATTGCATCATATTTTTTACTTGCCAGAAAACAACACGTATAATCTTAATAGACTGTTTGCTTCGAAAAATCACATTATATCATCTGGATAGTTTTCTTTCAATCAACATTATCGTAGAATAGTACTTCATTGAAAATTGACGGAGCTTTGACAGAAAACTAAATCGTTAGGATCTGTTATTATTATATGCTCTCTTCCAGTTTTTTGTCAGCTTTGTAAGTGCTTTGAGCGCTGATATGCATTACATAAAACGGCTTCTGTATAATTTTTTTATTATCAACAATGGTATCGTTATGCAATCTTATAATTTCTTCTACATGTCTAAAGATAAATTCCAGGTTGTAATGTAAACTTTATTCCTTGAATCATAAAAAAAATTATCGTAGTTAATATTGAAACTTTTGCAAATTTGTATTTTTTCAATTTGAGTTATCTGGAACTGAACGACAGTATATTAAAAAATCGCAATATTCCTTTATTTGAAGGCAATGTTTACTTTAACTTTTTTTCATCAATTAATTATATTAATTGGGTGTTGCCCATTATAAACATTTTTTTTTAAACAATTGTAAACATGTATTTATGAATTTGTTAAAACTAAAATATCACTTCAAAAGGTTATTTCTTAGTTACATTTGTTATTAGTTTCATATATTAATTGCACGCTAGAAATTAAATAAATAAATATATTAATGTAAGCAAAAAAGTGCATTTTTTATTAAAAAATATAAGTCAGATAAATATAGATATTATATTTATATATTACACCTAATATAATATATATATATATATATATAATGTATATAATATATATATATAATATATATATATATATATATATAATGTATCGCATAGCAAATACAGTTGTCTCATTGATAGTGAAGAACTCTCAACGAGTCTTTTCACTTGTATACTAAAAGAAATAAATATTGCAATAATGCGCATAATGGCAAATATATAATCATCATATAATAATATTTAAACAAATAAAATATCTATGAATAATCTCTTTAAATAATCTTTTTAATATTTAATAATCTACCAAGATATTCTTCTTAGATTTTGAAAAATTTACGTATATAATCAACTGTAACTCATCACAATGAGCGAAACAATTAATAATAATTCAGATATGTTATTATAAATTATACTCTAGAATTTATTAATTCTCCTCGATTTTATAACTAAAAAATAATAAAATAAATTGCCAGAATATTATTAATCTGCTAATGATTTGAGCAAAAATCAATTATTTATTAATGTAAAAAAAACATTATTAATAATATATAATTAAAGCACTCTAAACTACATATTTTACATGTTTTATCATTTTGGTAAATTTCATATATTTCAGATGTCAATTTTAATACATACAAATGTTAAAAATACGCTAGCGTGCATCATTACTGCCTATCTTTTCTATTAATATATTCGTCATAATTATATATATATCATTGGAACACAATAGGGATTTGATAATATACATACAAATATTTCATATAATTTTTAAAAGTTTTAAATTTTATTTAAATTCATAATTTTTTGTTGAACTAAATTAAAAATCAATTTACATTATTCAAAGAATTATATTTTAATTTATAAAAATTTTAAAATCTGTCGAAATTATTATTTTATATTATGAAAGCTCTTTATCTTTCACACTAAATATTCAAATTGTTTCCATGATTTTAGACTTTAGCGATTTTAAATACATAATCGTTAATTGGCGTTATTAATTTAAAAGAACGTTTTGAAAAAAAATATCAATTTTGTTTAGTATTACAGCTACTAAAAAAATAATAATTTCGAAAAGAAATTGAAAAGTGTAATTTAGATAGGGTGAAATCATTATAAAGAATAAAAAATACGATGATAATATTAATAATTATGTTACCTATTTTGTATTCACTATATAATTAAAAAAATAATATTTCGAATCAATCACGCTTAGTTTTTGTAAGAAGTACGAGATAGAAAAGTATATATTTTTATATACAATAGAAAATAGTAGAATTTGAAAATACTAAAAAAATTAAAGGATATATAATTAATAATAATTTAAAAATATATAAATATCAAAATTTACTCGAAGGTATCTATTTTTTCTACTTCTTTTCAAACAATTAAAATTACTTGAATATTATAAAATATTCAAGTAATATATTATATTATATATATATATATATATATATATATATATATATATATATATATACATAAATTATGTATATTCTATTTGTAATTTTGTTTTAGACTGATTTTTTATTGTAATTTCTTGAGTTCGTAAGGCTATAACTAATATAAATTTAATGATATATTAGCACTAATAAAAAATTATATACTATAATTATATTTTTTAATGTATATTGTATAATCATATACTTTTAAATGATTTGATTACCAAATTTTCACTATGAATTTTAGCGATGATGATTCTGTGTACCTTAATTTTATTTTGTCGATTCCTGTACTAGTATTTATTTTTAGATAAATGAAAAAAAAGATCGAAGGTTAGTAAAACAGAATTTGGACACAATTCTTATTATGTATGGTTTTTAAATAATTTGCATATCTTTATATTTCAAAAGACTTAATTCATGACTACAAAACATTACGCTATAATTTTTTCATAATGCTTTCATATATACGTAAATGCATGCAGGGATTTGCATCTATGCAGAAACAGGTTTTCATTATATGTAAAAATGTTGAGTGCATTAAAATTCCTTTATATATACATATAGTTATTAATATTATATATAATAATAAAATATTGTAAATATTGTTATTAGGTATTAATGTCATATGAACATGTATTTATTACATAATGTAAAGTGAAAACTCAATTAAAGTAGTTAAAAATAAAGATAAAAACTTGTTCATAAGGTAATTAAAATATAAATTTATATAAGAAATTACATGGATTTTTCATCAATTAAAAGTATTTATTTTGTCAATTTATTGTTAATTCCTTCTTTTCTTAGGATTCATTTATATAATTAAATGGATAGACTTTTCTATTTTCTTTTATTGGGAGCATAAAAAATATTATTGATACATGATTTCAATAAAGTAATCAAATGCATACTTATCCCGAATGTTTGTATCATAATAAGTTATTAACTAAAATACTTAAATGTATATATATATATATATATATATATAACCATCTGGTCCATGGTCTAATATGTTTGATTTCCTATTGATAGATGGTATTGATTTCCTTGAAATTTTCCTTCGATTGTTACAAAATTCAGAATAGACAACATAGTAAAATTTCTATCCAGAGCCCACTATGCTTATTGATAATAGCCTCCGTTTTATTAAAATTATAATGCTTAATAGAAAGATATAATTCATTTTATATTGAGCTTAATATTTAATTTTAAAATAATTAGCAACAGGTAAATATAACTATTTATAATACTTATATTTTTCTATTTAATCAAATAAATAATGTTATCAAAAAATTATCAATTATTTCATATGTTAATTATATAAAATATTTATAATAATAAATATTAATTAATTTAATAGGAAATATATAAGCATACAATTGAATTCTAACAGTTAAAGAAAATAAATCTTTCAAATTTTCTTCGCATATACATCTTTTTATTTCTAGAATATAATCAGCAATATATACATAGTACAGTAAGTAAGGCAGATCTGAAAGTAAAGTGAAAATGTCTTTGCCTAGAAAACAGAAAAGACGTCTTGCGTTTACGACGCTACTAAAAGTTTGAATTTTTTTGCAAGGAAAAATTTAAATATATAATTCCGACAAGGACACTTCATATACCGAATTGATACCATAAGATGTAACTCGAAAAAAATAAGCTCTCTATTCGACGTGCTTTTTGTAATTAAAAAAAGGAAAGAAAAATTATACAAGTATCGTACACAAGGCCTCTCTCATCGAAAAAGGTTTTTTTCAATCACTCCGTCGGACGGTCAATTACACAGTAATTACACCAGTTATTTGAGGTTTGTATACACACATATAAGGGCTACAGTTCGTAAATAAAGTAGTAATTATAACGGAAATAAGAATGTCATGAGTTTTGTCGATGAGGTATGACATCGTTCTCTTAAGTATTTTTCGCTGCAGACATTACACTCAACACTGATCTCCCTGTATAAATAAACGAATCGTCTTTAAATGATATATCGCTCGTAGAAAATAATATGCTCACGTACACTTGAACCTGACAGTAACATCACAGCATCCTGTCTAACAGAATCATTATATACTATCATATATTTTTTTTCACTCTTAACCAGAGCTTGAAAGGCCCACATTTTTCTTTTTGTTTCTCTTTTGATCCTACTATTGTAAGATCATTCTGATTACAATAATACCATATTTAAGCACAAACATACAAAGGGATTTCGTATTCATTTTTTTCTTCATGTTAAAATAAAAGAAAAAAATAAGTAGCTCAAATAAAGTCAACTAAAGTATGTGAATTGTGACATAATGATAGATGAAAAAATAAAAAAAGACATATAACGTACAGTATAAAAAACAAATGAGATGAAAAAATGAATGTATTATATAATCGTGAACTCATGAAATTCAGCTATATTGATACTATAGTTTTGTTAAAAAAATATAAATAAAACACGCTGATTGAACATAGGCCTGCTTAATGCATATTTCGTTTCTATTTTTGTTGTGATAATTAATGGCGCTCTCTCCCTTATACAGAGAAAAATTTACAAAGATTTGTCAATGGACATTACACGGTACATCTTAATATCTCTACATTTTATACAAATGTTTGTTGTCCCCTGAAAAGATACGCTCAATATAATAGGACACACATTTTCATTCGTTATCAATTTATAGAATCCTTTTGTGTTTGACAATAATTTATCAAATCTTACGAAGTATATACGCATACGAAATATTCACGGAATAAAATAACAAAACGTAACACTGGTTACAGGTACAAAATACAAAAAAAATCAGCCTACTGTCTCATCGACTTGTTAATACATGCGTTACATTGCAATGAACTTTCAAAGAAAATCAAAATGAACGGCTAGTCACTGTCTTCAATAATTGTTTGAAAAACATTACTTAAAAAAGAGCATGAATGAATTAAAAATAAGGGGGTTTCTTTGGTGCCCTATGATACACAGCGGGAATAACGCACTCGGGATAATTAAAAAATCAAACGCGATTGATTCCGTAACAATCGTTTACGGCAATTAAAAGTTTTTTCGTGAATAAAAATCACCTTTGCACTTGACGCTTAAAAACTCTTATCTTCTGGACGATTTTCTTCTCCTACTGTTGGATCGTTTGGGCCGTCGTGCTTTCGACTTAGCATTGATTAACCAAGGTAAGGAGAATTCACTGTACATTAAAAATAAATTTATTTATAACATTATTTCGCTTAATATAATTAATATTAATTTTATGTAAGGTATTTCGAATACAAACGGTAATAATATACATTACCTTGGAATAAAACTGGGAACAGAAGCTCCGAATGCAGATATGGGCAATTGAGTATCAACTTGAATGCTTTGTATTTGATCAATTTCTGGCCATAATGTCGTAACATTCTCTTCATCTATTGAAGATAAGCATGGACCGGTATGATTAATATTATAACAAGCAGCATGATGACTCTGTCTTTCTTGTCTTTGCTTCAACTTTTCGATATGTCTCTGTTCCCTATAAATTATTTATTAAAGTTTTACTTAAGTTGTAACTAAATTATAATTAAACAGTCATAGTTATGTAAATTAATTTGTATAAATATTAAATATAAAAATATTTAAACTTTTTTTTATTAAGGAAAAGAAATAATTCAAAAGCTTCGATAGATAATAAAATTATTAGATTTAATACTTATATCATTATTAAGAATAAATTAAGAATATTGATATATAGATAGATAGATATACCTTATCCTTTGAACATCCCATCTTTTTCGCCGTCTTTCATCGTTTTCAAGTTTCAAATGCCTTTTGTTAAAAATCTCATCATCTAAATTTTCAGTGCCTTCCATTGTATAACAACTTGTGTAGACTTTTACCCTCCAATTAGGAACTTCCAAATTACTAGAACTAGTATCTGGTGATGATCGATCCTTAAGACTTAATGAGTAATTTGTCTCTCCAACTGCTGTGTAGTAATGTTCTTCAGTTGTAAGAAAACATTCTCTTTTACTCAGAGATTTTCCTTTCTTCTCTGACTTTTTTAAATTTTCATGACTTGGGCCTTTGCCACCCTGCATATAAAGTAAAATAAAATAATAAAAATACTGGTTTTTAATGACTAATTTAAATTAGAACAAGTATTGATAGAAAAAACATTGATGCAACATTAAAACCTGTTTTCTATTTTGCATACCAAAATTTTTATGTATAAAGATATATAACAACTATTTTATTATATTAATAATCTTAATTTTAATATGTTTTTTATTTTAATGAATTTTAATTTAATATTTAATAAATAAAATATTCTTACAAGGGTATCTGGTAATGTTGAAGAAGTGTCATTGCTTATCGTTGAAGAACTAGAAACACCCCTTTTTCGTTTGATACTATTATTCACAGCTATTGACTCTGACCTACGCTTTTTCTTGTTTTCCCAAGAATCTCCCGTTGATTCTTGCTTACATTCAAACTTATCAGGCAATTCTTGTTTCACTGTAGTAATACCTCCAGTAGTATTTAATCTTATTTTAAAACTTTCACCATATTGTGGACTAATAGAATCTGGTTGAGTAATTTTGTGATGTTCACTAGTTGAAGGAAGACTATTTAAAGATGTATTTAAGGATGGTGGTGAACAAGGTCCAACATGGTCAATTGCATTTTCAGCATTCTCAGATCGCAGCTTTTGTAGGTTCACTCGCCTATCCATACGCTCCAGCCGCAGTTTAAGCTACACGCAAAAGCATAATTTATATAGATAATTCATAGCATAAGTAGTTTAATTAGATTATGAATACAAAATGTACATTCAGAGCAAATTTTTATTTTAAATAATATTTGGTTTTTAAATAAAACATATTTACATTTTTTACTTAATAATAATAAATATTTACAATTTATAAAGGAAAATTTTATTATACCTTATACTAAAGTCAAAATTTCATTACTCATTTAAATATACAAATATATAAACCCATACATACATATCCATGCACATATACACACACGCGCGCGCACGCACGCACACACAAATATTCACGTAAATATGCATATACATATATACATACGTACATACAAGCTTTTAATACAACCATACGATAAAATGGATCAATCATATACAAAATGAAGTTAATTGTATATATATTAAAATCTTGCATATTAAATTATTAAAAGTGTTTTGTAAAATCTTGAAACCACTATATACAAATTAAAATATGTATAAAGCTGAAATAATTTTCTTTATCTAAATTAAAAATATCAGCAAATATGTTTATACATTGAGTTTTAAAATAAGTTTTAAAATGAAAATCTTTATTTCATAACCTGTATTTAAAATATGTACTTTTAGTAAATTTTATTTTTGCAAATAGACATTGAATTTATATGTAAACAATAATTATTTGTTTCCATTAAATTTGAAAACCATTTATTTTTACTTCTTCATAATTTAGTTTTTTTGGTTGCTTCTAAGTTTAAATATATCAATTTAAAAATGAGTATGTAATATTTGTATTTTGTAGAATACAGATTGATCTATTTCATTGGACATTTCAAGAAAGAAAAAAGAAGAGAAAACAATTAAAAATTAAGAATTCCTACAACGCGATTAAATCCGCTTGACATTTTGACATTTCAAACAAGTGCTACTGAACAATTTGAATTTGCCACACTTTTCTGGCAGCACTGTATTCACTCTAGGGATTCTAAAAGGAAGCGGCTTGAAGTTTGACCTTGACAAGCACTTCCATCTCGTAGTCTGTATCGGAATTACAGAACAAAAAATTCCAGAAAGAAATTTGAAACTTTCCGTTTGTACAATATTACTGCATGCTATACTGTGCTCCTAACTATGAGGCACAGATTTAATTTATAAATTAATATCCAAATGTGACTTTCTACTGACAGAAAATTACAATTGTACAACGTTTACACTCCTCAAATATCAACGCAACCACTATTCACTGCACAGTGACATCTATGACTCGGTACTTGTCACAGAACTAACTATTGTTTGAACACATTGAAAACCAGTGATTTAGTACCGGTTTTGGCGGCAAACACTTCACTCTTTTCCTTTATCACAGCACTAGATCATGGTGACCACTGAATCACTGAATTAAAATTCCCTAATTTCCTCAAATCTAATTTAAATCAAATCTATTTGAAATTATAATATACAAAATACAGTTCTTGCAATGTAATTTAATGAAGGTTAGGAATAATTTAAAATAACTGTAGCAAACAACAAAATTCGATTAAATTTTAATACATGATGAATAATAAAGAATATTATTTAATGGATAATAATTGACGTTTAATTAGAAAAAACTATGCATAAATATGAAATATAAAATATGTTAACTGTATTTTTTTATATTTTAAAGTTTTTTAAGATGCACTACTATGTATTTAATCTTGATCAAACTAGATAAAGCGGTCACCAAATAAACCTACCGTCTCATTCTCTTGTCTTAGGGCAGCCAGTAATTTGTCCTTTGTAACAATTTGTTCAGACTGTTGTTGAATAAGATCCAAATGCAGCAGTAGCAACTCCTTAAGATGTTTTACCTCCGTAAAATCGTTTTGTCTGGCTTCGTTTCCTCTTAAAGGGCTGACACCAAGTGTTGACGTAGCCGTAGCAGGAGCTCCACCGTCTGTCATACTGGCATACATGTGATCAAAATCACAAGGGAAACCTAGTATGCCTACAACTTTGCCACTGTCTTCGGTAGAAACTCTGTTTTTTTCTTTATCTTTATTTTGGTCTTTAACTTTGTCCTTGACTGTGTTTGTTGTCGTCAAACGTACACTGTTCGTCACTGACGACGACGACAGGTGCTCGTTCATCGCCGCCACCATGTTGTAAGAGACAACTTCACCTCGAGACACCTCCTCTTCGTTCACTTTACCTAATGCATGAAAGAACATTGTATAAATGTAGATTATATATTGATTATATATAATATCGCTTATAATTAAACGGTGGAGATGTAATTATATATATATATATATATATATATATATATATGGTATATAGTATTGGTTATGTATTATAAGTACTGAATACTTTTAGTGTTATAAATCTATATGTTAATTATATTATCCATAACATCATTGTAACGTATCTTATATTTTATATGTACGCACATACACACACATTTGCACGCGTAAACTTTATAATTTTTAATAACTGTCATAATTAAAAGAAAATAACTATTTAATATTGACAACAAAAATTTTTCAATCTATCTGTACAAACGAATTATAATTTTGTATTTCGATATCCATACATTTTATGAGCTACAGAGCAAAATATATCCAAAAGATGGTTAACTTTATCTGATACATAGATAAAATTGAAGAAGTAAATAAAATATAATAAAGAAATTTGATCGCTCTTGCTTTTATCAACAAAATTATTAAATATTGTTTATAAAATGTCTTAATAAGTAATAAGATTAAACTTAGAATTCTTAAAAGACTCGACCAAACAATAAACACATCGATCAAACGTATTACTATGCAATTAAGAAATGAAACGATGAATTTACAAACTATTGACAATTATGGTAAGGCATGGCGAAGAAAGCCAAGTAATTAAGTCGAATATGATATAATGAAGTCATTACACCTTATTTGGCATTGGAGAAAAATAAGAAAACAACACCGATATCATTGGCACTCATCAAATATTGTTTAAGTAAAATGGTATGTCAACAAATAAAGAGTTGGTGATGCAAAGACGTGCGAGAGAGCACATGTTTATGAGCAAAGTTAAAAGTAAACAAAGCAAAGCAGTACTGATTAGACGACAAACGCCGCATCTTGTATATCGAGTAGATGCGTGTAAGCGCGTGGAAGCATCCTGCCGAAGTTATTTGCAGGATCGGCAAGTGTCAGAGGAGAGGTGAGGACTGCGTAAGAACGCGTACAAGAAGTGAGTGTCAGTGAGAGATGAGAGATGAGAGATGATGAGAGAGAGAGAGAGAGAGAGAGAGAGAGAGAGAGAGGGAGCGCACGCGCGAGGCCAAGAGAAGCGCTGACAGTAGAGGAGCAGAAGAGGCACGCGATCGAGTTGGAGGAGCCGCGGCAAAAATTGCGTCAGGCGTTGTTTGGGGCTCTCTTCTTACCTAGGGCAGCAAGCCCGGGCCGCTGCTGGTTCTCGTCGTCGAGGGACAAGGACTCGGAGGAGGCGCGTCGATAGTTCAGCTCCCGGGCGGCAGCCTCGGTCCCTCCAAGCACCTCGAGCGCAGTCGCGGCTGCTGCGGCAGCGCCCCCGCAGCTAGCGGCGGTGGCGGTGGCGGCGGCAGCGGCGATGGCGGTAATGGAGGTGGTGATACTAGTACTGTTGATGGTAGTGGTAGTGGTAGTAGTAGTAGTAGTGTTGATGGTGGTGGCGGTGGTAGCGGTGGTGGTAGTGTTGGCGACGGCGACGGCGGCGGTGGTGATGGCGGTGGCGGTGGCGGTGGCGGTGACGGTGGCGGCGGCTTGCTGGTGATGATGAGCGCGTCTCCTCGTCTCCGGCGCGGCGAGGCCGTTCACTAAGCGCAGCCCGGGCGCGCCGCCCGCCGACATGGCTGCGATCCCCTTAGCCGCCCAACGACGACGTTGAGACCTACGCCTCCGCCACCTCCACGAAACACCTCCTCGCTCCTGCTTGCTGGGCCGCGCGCCAACATCCAAGCGGCTTGCTTTGCCGACGGCACCGGCTGAACAGCGAGGGACGGCTCGTCGTCACTGGCTACGGGCGGGACGACGAGGACGCGGCGACGGGTTCACTCTTTTCGCGCGCCGAGGAGCGCCGACGCGTGTGCGGCCCCTCCAACATGTATAACGCGCGCTCTACGCGCACGCCACTTTGCGGCGGCGAGTTGTGACCCTCCTTCCTTCTCTCTCTCTCGACACACACACACACACACTCTCTGACTCTTTGGGCTCTATTTTGCCCGCTTGCGCTTCCTCCCGTTTACACTCTCCCCGTTCGTCGTTCTCTTCCCGTCACTCGTGCGTCGCGCCGAGTCTGCAACTACAATGGCGCCCTACGCGCGAGCCGACGTTCGATTACACCGCCTTTGTAATTGCAATGGGCACTTGTTGTTGGCGGAGTCGAAGGACCGTGGTGGCCAATCCTCGGGAGCGACCAATGCCACCCCGAGGCTCATACAACGACGACACGAGCACCGTTATACCACACACCACTGCTCTCCCGAACTCGGTATCGCCCTCCGCCAAGCAGTCCTTTCACGTCGCTCCTTTAATACCGCCCAACTTCCTTAATATATTTCGCGAATACAACATTTTATCGTAGTTCATCCATGGACTAACCGACTGCTCGACGACTCGCTTCAATGGCTTCAATTTTGGAGATTCGCTTGCCATTAAACCAGCTTCGCTCTGCATGTCTTGTTTATCCGCCTATCAAGCACGATTCCTATTGACGAAACTCACAAGAACTTCCGGCCTCGCAATTAAAGACGTCGACATTTTTCGGAATTTCTTTTCTTTTTTAAAAGTGCAAACAAAGTCTGTCCTCGATTTTACGAGCACCAATGCACGTCTTTTTACATACTTTAAAATACCCGTCAAATTACTTTACAATTCGCTTATTAATCACTTTTCTATTTTTCCCTCACAAAATGTTAACGTACCTACGTTTTGTTAACAAAATTCAAAGGCCATTTTTACAAACGACATATTATCAAATTCACAATTATATTATTATTTAAACAAAACAAAACAAAAAATATATTAAATTTAAGTATATAAACTAAGTTCAATGATGACAGTACAGATAAATATAAATAATTTACGTAAATCTTATTAGAATTTTGAGCCAGAATTTTGATCACCCTTTTTTTCGAAGCATTTGAACTTTATTCCTACATCAATGCAAATTATTTAATGCTTATTTAATTGAAACGATAAATCTAAAAATACATTATTTTTATACGACCGATATATAGCGACTTGAACTTCGTATAATTTTGTAACGAATATCATCGTGGAAAGCTTATTAATCCAAGCTTTTAAATAAATTTTAATAGTAATAAAATAAAGATTTTTAAATCAATAAAAATTTCAAATAAAAGTTTCTTAACTCTTACAGCGCAAACATTCTCAATTTAAATTTATAAAAAATTAAAATATTAATTGTAAAGCTTGGGTTTATTGTGCATTTATCTGGTAAGTTAAAACATCTTGAGATAACTGTTTTGCATTCTTCAGTTATTAAAGATGTTGAGCCTAACCGGATTGAAATAAGAAAATGGACATAATGGAAAAATACAAGTTTTTGTTTACTTTTATTGGAAAAATATATTTTAACAATTATTTTCCGAATCGTCAATGCTTCTAAATTGCATGTATAATAAATTTTGGGAGCGCGCGCGAGCGCGCGTGTATGATGTACCGTTATTGAAGAACTAAAATTTTAGTTTCGTGCGTTCCACTTTTCGTAATTTATATAGGAAAGTAAACTTAACCAGCCCTTTAATTGAGGCCCTCTCATAGGATGAAAAAAGATTGCGCTCAATAGCGATTTAACTTTACTCGGCATAGATGTTCATTGGTTAATAAGGGATTGTGCTTTTTTACATTTTGCTTTAAGTAGTCTTTCAACGTGAAATAACGAGCACGTAAATGGCTTACGATAATGTACGAATATATACAAGAGTGTAAAAAGCGAGAGTTATTCTTAATCTTGTATTGTATAAAAAGAATGTTTGTAAATAATAAAACTAAACAAAAGTTTATCATTGAGATAAAAACCAGACCATTGACAGAGTCGGCATCAAATCCTGACGTAAAAGAAGCAACATTATACAGTCGCATTATAAACGTTCCGACTACAATTGTTTTAAAATTTAAAATGACTTTGGAGATTTTTTTATGCGAACGAATTTCTAGTAAGTAGTATACAATGTTTTGATATTTGGTTGAGAAAGAGCGTAGGCCTAAACCATGAAACACCGACACGTAGTGTACGCGGGAGCCTCATCCTCTCGATTTTCTCCTGAATTGAAGGCGCGTGCACGCATACACGGTCATCATACACGAATGGTTACTATATCTCGACAAATTGCTTCTAGATGTGCGTGAGTGAATGCGTACGTGCGCATGTGTCCGTCATGATTTGCATACATATGCGTATGCACACATGCGCACGCGCGCGTCACTAATGTACATTTTCAGAGAAAATCCACAAAGGAAAAAAAAGGAATCATCCGCTTGAAAAGAGGAGTGAATATTGTTAAGCGAGGAGCCTTATCTCGCCAAAATCTTACTATCTTTCTCCTTTTCTCTAGTGCGGGTAGTCGGCACCTGGGCGAATCCGCTCGTCCTCGTCCTCCTCCACGGCAGGATAAACGTCGTAGTAGTACGGTCGACTCGACACTCTTTTATCCCTCTCTCTCTCTCTCTCTCTGTATTATAAGTTACGCAGAGTTGTTTGACATACGTGCGTATGGCTATATGCATGTATATGTATATATATATATATATATATACCCTTCTGTTTGCTTGCTATCTGTCTGCCTGTCTGCTGTTTCTCTCGCTCTCGCACTCGCTCTCTCTCTTTCTCTCTCTCTCTCTCTCTCTCTCTCTCTCTCTCTCTCTCACGCTCTCATTCTCTCTCTCGTCTCTTTGTACGTACAAAATTTTTGCCACACTTGGCGCTTTCGTTGGTCGATGACCAAGCACGAACTCAGCAACAGAGCGAGAGAGATAAAAGAGAATGGAAGAGAGAGATGGACTGTTCACCCGAATCCGCAACACACGGTGAGTTCTTCGAGAGAGAAAAGAGGGATTCCAGGGAACGGAACTGGTTCACATGGAAGCGAAGTGGAACTCTGGTGGTCAGACGTGCCGATTATTTCGCTCAACGATAGGTACACCAAAAGGATGAATAATTGCCGCGCAAAGCGCGAGATACGCGCGCCGACGTCTCGGTGAGACGCCACCTACTGTAGAACGAGATTTGGCTCATTTACGTCCGCATTCCCCACCATAATTTCGCGCGCACACCGATAAGTGGCCAATTAATGCGCGCGCAATCTGGCGGGATATTTAAACATTAGCCAAAAAAAAAACACGTGCGCTTGTTTTTGTTTCATTTACAAGCGCGCGCGCGACTTTGCGCGTCAATGTGCATCGACTTAGCCTGTCAGTCGGTTTAATTAATTTTGTTAGACTAGCAATGTGTTTGATATAACAAGCGGAGCATTAATACGCGCCTTTATTTAAGTTGATAATAATACTAGTTGATATTAAGTGACAGTAATCAGCACATTCAATTTTTAACTTTTTTACCTTTGGTTTTTACAAACGAATATTGGTGAGTTAGGCAATCATTAAATGAATTAATCATATGTTTTAAAATTAAATTTTTAAAATTATACTTTCAGGGAAATATTTAATAGAAGAAAATGGTGTAACTATTGCCCTGCATTATTTTCAAAAATATATATTTGAATAAATATTCTTGAGAAAGCTTTATGTTTGTTCCTAGGTATAATAAAAATGAATTGAATAAATATAAATTTAATTACAAGAAAAGTTTTCCGAGTATCATAATCAAGTTAATAATAAATGTTTATTTCTTTTTTTTAAGTTGAATTTTCTTAGCATTTGGAAGTAAAAGAATCGTTAAAACATCAGATATTACATACGTTCATTACTTCATAAATAAATTATATTATTTTACTTTTGTATCCATAGTCCTAATAATACTCCCTAAATTGTACTAGTTTTTAACGATTAGTTGTGTTACTAAAATACGATACTTTATCTATTTTTCTTAACATTATATTTGGAATTTTTTGGCTTCTAAAAAAAATTTTTTTTTCTAATATCTAACAAATATCAAAGAAAACTTATAAATTTGTAATAATTTCCAAATAATGGTCTACTACATTAGAAAATATTTAAAAATTCTACGTTTAAATTAATCGAGTAATTTTTAAAAAATCGTATTAAAGTAAAATTTATTTTATTTAATCACAATATATGATAAAAAAAATTAACAATTGTATTCGTAATACTTATGCATAGAATCAATTTAAATTATTAATAAGATTCATCACAAAATCATGTATATTTGTTCTATTAGATTAAGAATTGCTAATTACCTAAAATTAAAGTATTTTCATATTAAAAATTATTATAATTTATTAAAATAGTTAAATGATTCATTGTTGAAAATATATAATAAAACCAGAACTTATTGTCAAATCTAACTCTGATAGTACTATTGCCATAGTTTATAATAGTTCATTATACAAGACTAATTACTCTAATATGAATCAATTTATTTTGCTGTTTTGTATTTAATATTTTAATTGAATATAAATATATTTTCAACATAAATAAAAATATTACTCTCTATATTACTTATGCATTTAAAGTATTTTTACATTCTTAATTATTATTTTACACCTACCTTATAGATTAGAGTATAATATTCATGATATTTGTCAAAATTGATTACTTCAATTATTATCTAAATTGTTCTTCCCACTTGTGTAGAAAATTTCATTTCATAAAAATCAATATCATCGTTAAAGAAAATATAAATTTCTCATCACATTTTGATTTATCGGAATTCAATCGATTGTTAATTTCTTTAGAAGTTCATAATAATTATAATTAATACATTTTTTGCTTAAATAAATTTATATCGACGGTATAGGAAAATATACAAAACTAAAATAAAGGTAAATTTGTTTTTTAAATTAATTAATTTATTTGAGTAACAGTAAAATCATCATTAAAAATCATGTTGAGTCGCAACATATTTTGCAGGCAACTGCATTGAAAATAAATTAATACGTGCAACCAAGGATTCTTATATGTATTTCGTAATGTTAGGTACTATGCTTATTACTTCAATTATATTTTCATTAGATATGCATCTATAATCGCATCCAAAAACGCATACAATTACTGATTTCAAATATAAAAGTATGTGGTAGTAATTAATGCTAAGTATTGTAATAAAAATAATCTTATAAATTCAATAGATATTCACATTGAAAAAAAAATTAAAAAAAAAAAGAATCATACCATATATACCCCTCTACTACGCTAGTATTGAACGTTAAAAAATTTTTGTTCTAAAGGGTAAAAAATGTTAATATTAATTAAAAATGGATTAGCGTAGCATTTGATGCATAATAATGAAACATACACATTTTTTATAAATACGTAAATATAATTTACAGAATTTTGTTTAACTTAAAAATTTGGTAATTTAAAGTCTTTTAAACTTGATTTATAATTTAAAAATCAAGTTCACTTAAAATCATTTAATTCCTTGTATAATCAAGAATTTTGATGTAAATACAAAATAAATTGGTAGGAGCATTTTGTTTTACTTTTATTAACAAATTTTGAAAAAGCATGTAATTTTTAGGAACAATACTGTGCGAGTTCCGACGATTGATTCTGCAATATCATAATGCATTGTGTTCTTACTTTTAAACGCCTTAATTTTTTAAACCAAATTTTTACTAAATTTCTATCATAGATTCTCTACTGAATGAATTAATTTCAATGTTTCTTTTATTTTACAACATAAAATAGGCTTTTAATCATTTCAATAAATTTTCACGTTGTAAATTATTTAATACTATGGCCAATTTGAGTATTATTTCCTTCAATGTATTACATGCGGAAAAATATATTATCAATAGGTTTTCCTCGTCCTACAGTGAATTTATATTATCCATATACTTTATTCTTGTATAAGCTTCCTGAAACATATTGTGTTATTCATTTAACATTTACATATATAACGTCATTTTTAGCTCCTCCATAAAAAGAAGATTCTCACTATTTTTCAAGTATAAGATCCGTGAATATATTTACGATATCTTATATTCTTTCACTTTTCTTTTCTTAAACATTCAAATACACATATAGAAATATAATTATTCTCCTATATCAATATACAACATTTGACATAATTTTTTTATATTTACAGTCAGTGTGACATATATTCTTTCAATATTCTTGAACGACATGTAATAAAATATCCAGTCATCTTCTATCATCGTTACAATATTCATTTTATAGGAAAACTTCATTTTTCTGAACATCAATAATTGGTCTCGGAATATAAAACAGAATTCTTTTACCAATGGAATCGTTTAACCTAGCCTTGTTTATTCTTCTTACATAAATACATGATGTTAATTATATTATAAAAGTACCCTTATAAAAGGTATACTATCACTAGTTTAAAAATGTATTCTATTTAATAGATACTAGAGCCCCAAAGAAATGTTCAACTATAAGTATCAAAAATTAAAAAAATTATTAATATCCATATAATATTGTCAATGATTATGAAAAAAATTAAAAAATTTAAATGTTCTGCAAAGAACTTAGAATAAATTTTTCTAGATCTTTAAAGGCTACACTTCAACTTCTTAATCGGCACTTTTGCCAGTCTTTAATGTTTCAATATACAATTGTATGTGTCTTGTGATCAATTTCGGACATTCGATCCAATACAACGTGTGACACTTATGTGCAGCCCATATATAAAAATATACATTAAATAAAATTCCAATTCTCCAGAAAAAAAGAGGAGCACAGCAATACCGAATAGGTATATATTACTTATACAATCGTATTTAACCAAATGTAAGAACTGAAAACTTACACATAGTAGCAGCGTTTTTGTTTTGTTTTTAGTAAAAAAAGTACATAATTGAATAAGTATAAAACTGGAAAAAAGCGCAACTATTTCATTTTTCATCATGTACATACATTACTCATTTTTCTACTATATTTGTTCATGACTAGAGTCAAAACCCCCTAAAACGACGCGTCAATACGTATCAACACGTATCGTTATACCTAGCGAAAGATAATTTCGACCAAACTTACTTGATCTTTACGCTCGTATTATATATATATATATATATATATATATATATATACGTGTGTGTATCTGCATATGTATTTACGCGGATGTTCGTGTGTGTATTTAATATGTATATTTAGTTGTTCATAATTATTCACATTATCAGATAACCGAAATTTCTTCGTGACTTTAATGGGTGTCGTGTATCAGTAACAGCCTCAATTTACTTTTGCTTTCTCGGACGCGGTGTTTAAAACACATAGGAACTAAGTTGTATAGCTGTTGTCTCGTTTATTTATCTCTTGGTTTTTCAATAATTGTTCGTTTTCCTTGGCTCTCGATACTCAAAAAAAAAAAAAAAAAAAAAAATTAAAAAAAAGCATATACCGTAGGAGAGAAGTTTAAAAATGAAAGATCGGTCGCCCCTTTTGTTATCGAGTTAAGGAAATGCAGAAAACAAAATTCCCGCGCCGAGGTCATTCATTGGTAGGATTGCTGCCTGAACATACTACTAATTTCTTCGATTGACTTATTCTTCGTCTCTGGTACCTTTAGCCAGATAAACACGGTAAAAAGGCCTTGAAGCACAGCGAATACGAAGAAGACGTTTGAGTTTATGGCTGCGGCTAACGGCGGAAACATTATACCCACAAGAAAATTGGCACCCCAATTGATAGCAATAGCAACGGACGTCGCCGTCGGTCGTGCTGACTGGTTAAACAGCTCTGAAACTAGGAACCAGGGTATGCTGCCTGGTCCCGTAGCGAACAGCACGATGAACAGAACGACGAGTACGACAGCCAATATCGATGCTGCAGCGTGACTCTGAAATACACAAAATAATGCGTAAAAATAAATCTGCTAGCTATGTTAAATAAAAATTGTGATAGATTATACATAAATTTTATTTCAATTCATTAATTTCACAAAAAATAACAATAAACATGAATTATTTATAGACGTATATTATTAATAGGTATTCCTTGCTTATTTTCTTAAACGAATTTTCACATATTCTCAATTTAGATTAATTGGAATGATTAAGAAGAACTGTGAAAAGTGGCTCTCTTAAACTTGTTAAAGAACAATTACGTAAAGAATCAATGCAGCTGTAAATTTTTTTACAACAAATATGTGTTAATAAACACTTCAAAATAATATTGCTTATGTTTTGAATTTTTATGCTATTTGTAATTGAATGCATTAAGTTTATTTTTAAAATATTAGCAAACATGAAATAAAATTTAAAAATATTTCATTTTAATTACAAATTTAAATAGTTGTATATTAGTTATATTGATTTTCAATTAATTTCTTAAAATAAATACCTTTTAGAAACCTATGTGAATATATCATGTCAAAACTCGAGACAATTCATTCGCGCGTTAAAATTGATTGATTTAATTAACTTGGCTAGCAAATTTTTTCCTCAGACAAATATAGTTTAAACGTAATAATTTAAAAATGGATTCTTTTTAATAAACAATATTTTACAAATCTGCATTATATGATAAAAATTAGACCTTTGACATTGTACATTTCGGCAACTGGTCATTTTTCAGCTTAATGCTGATTGACATATTGCGTCAGAATTTAGTGTAATAGTATATTATATTTTCAGTTAAATTAACTGAGACTTATCTCATATAAGATTGTCTTATATTCTTTGGCTTTTAATTAATTTATATTTTCGTTAAAAATTTTGAATTTCAAAATATTTATATAATTTTTTGTTCTTTTTATTATTAATGTGTAAGTTGATCATTTGAAATTTCTATATGATCTAAAATTATATTTTGAAATATTATACAATAATTGTAAAAACATGGACGAATTGAAATATTTCAGCATAAACATTTTCTTTTTTATAATTATACATTTAATTTAAAGTGTGATATTCAGGATTTTCTATATTAATTATTACATCATCTATTTTATTATAAAAATTGATTTAATAGTAATGTTATTCAATGTTAAATCATAAATATATGAAATATGAAAATATGATCTTCGAAATTAATATTAGCTAATAAAATTATGAAAATATCCGAAATTTAGGAAAATAATTATGTACACAATAACCGTTTTTCTACAATATTATATTAATATATTTTTAAAAATCATGCCTGCATCAATTTAAATAGAGGTCAACGTAATTATTCTGCGTGTAATCAAGTTACATTACTACGTTATTATTTGATAATAGAATCTTAAAAATTAACTCACTTTAAATAAAAGACAGACTGCTAGTAGACTCGTATCAAGAAACATGCCGAAGAAACCAATCAGCAGTAAAGTCTTACGTCCAGCTTTTTCAACAAGGATCATGGAGATAAATGTCATTAAGACGTTTACAACGCCAACTCCTATCGTAGCATTTTGAGCTTGTTCAGCATCCAGCTGAGCCATCTCAAAGATATTGGTCGAGTAAAACATAATTGCATTGATACCAGATAATTGTTGTGCCAACATAATCATTATGGAGATGAAGAGTGGAATACGAAGAGACGAATTCATTATTAGTTCAGTTAAAGTGACTCTAGGAATAAGTTTAATTGATTCATATTCGGAACGCATGTCTTCCATTTCATCGTGAACTTCAATGGTGCCTCGCAGCCATGTTAGCGCTATAAAAATAAAAGGGCGTTTACAATATTGTAAGTAGTAGTGGATTTAAAATATTATTTACAAATTAATAACTTATATTACAGTGTTGATTAAAGGATATTTTAAAATGAATTATTTTCTTACATTAAAATTTCTTTAATTGCCCTTAAATAATGCGAAATAATATAGATTGTTTATTTTTTATACCATTACATTAAAATTGTTGGAAAAAAGCGCGAATCTGATTAAAATATAATATCAAAATAATAATCAAACATCGATTTAGTTTATCAGATTCGCGATTTTTTTCAACAATTTTAATGTAATGGTATAAAAAATAAACAATATATATTATTTCGCATTATTTAAGGGCATTATTTAAAGTTTGTATATTGAAATATCCTAAATTACCTTTTATTCTCTAAAAATAAATCTTAATTCAGTTTCAAATGAAGCAATGTATAGGACGGAAATTAATGAGCCTTATTCATTGTACGTTATTCTTAAGCAGCATTTAATATATAATGTGAGAAACCGTTAGATCCAATAACTACTAAGAACATGAAGGTAAAATCTAACCTCGTTGAGCATCCATGTCTCTGCCCTTACTTAATAGAAGGTATTTTGGACTCTCGGGGCAGAATGGCAGCGTGATTAGTTGAACGATGGCTGGAACAATTGTGAGAGAGAAAAGCCAAGGCCAAAGCTCGGTAGTACCCATAAGCTTGTTCATACCTAGCACTTGGGCAACCAAAATGGAAATTGTGATGATCAACTGATAAACCGTGCCAACGGCACCACGTAGGTGCATAGGTGATATTTCTGCGAGGTACATGGGCGAGAGACCAGCGTTAAGGCCTGAATTGATGCCAATAAGGAAACGCCCAAGGATTATCAGCTCGTAACTAGCCAAGGGCTTAGCCAATGCTTCAAAGAATACCGCGGCCACGACGAAGATATTGTTCAGAAGAAGGCTACCCTTTCGACCGAAACGGTCGGCCGCAGTACCTACCAGAGCACCGCCGATCATTCCACCCACACAGAATATTGCCACCGCTATCGCCCATGTCACCGTAACATCAGCTTCCAGCGACTCTTTATTCAATGGGACGTCACTACGGTTCATTTTTAACTCCGCAATCCATGGCTGAATCACCTAAATAGCGTGGTAAAGATTATTTTATTAAAACAGAATTTTTACTTTATGTATGCTCGTTATAAAATAACCGTGTTTAGCAAAACAAGTGAATCAATCGAATGAGCAGCTTGATATAATCAACTGCTAATTTATATGTGAATAATAGAGTTCAAAAAAGTCTCGAAGTAAAATACTCATTCGTCCTGAATTCATGATTTTTATTTTAATAATAAAAATTCAAGATTTGTTTAAAATTTATTGTTATTTTTAATTTATATATGCAATACTTGTAATGTATTTTTTCAATACATTGTAGATTTTTGAAACAAACTAACAAGTTTTTTATATTTTGAACAGAATAAGAGACTTTTTACAATATTATAATTAATGATTTTTATCATTAATAATAATTAATAATAAATGAATATCATTCAAACTATTATTTTTGTAATATATATTCCAATAATATAAGTAAATATAATAATTATTATTAAAAATTAAAAAAAAAGCTAAAATAAACAATATAATAACTATTGATATTAGATGAATGTTATTTATTGATATACAATCCATAACGTAAATATTTTTATCTCTCATTAAAAATTCTAATATTACAGAACATTTATATAAATAAAAAATTTAAGTAAAAATACAATTGTGTCTCTACATATAGTTTTTTAAACGTTCGTTAGAATTATGGGAAAAAAAGTATTGTAGTAAGACAAATTTATCGATCTATAGATTACTGACACTTAAAAAAATTAAATAAACAGTTCAATTTATATGATATTATGAATTTTAATTTTATTAAAAACTTCTTCAAATAAATAAACCGCATTTATTTATTACAAATATAAAATATATTTGTTATTAATATTTGAAAATAGAATATTTGTAAAGGAATTTTTTTGTATAACTATAGGTTGGAGTTGTAACTTTTATCAGAAAATATGTACATTGATGTTGATACATCGGCATCTAAATATTGAATTCATTGCAATATTGCACAAAAGATATCTTTATTATATATTTTATATACAGATGAAATATTATTGGCATATATATGTAAAAAAATCTTCTCATTCAAACAAGAGCAAATATTTTTATAAGAAATAATTACTATTATATTTACTTTGTTGCAAAACATATTGGAAAATACATTGAAATGGTATTTTATTACTTTCTTAAAAAATGTCAAGGTTTTTAATTTAATAAAAAATTTAATTAAATTCCTTCAATATGTTAATTAAATCCTTAAATATAAATTTGAATTGTCAATAAATTTACTTGATACAATTTTAATACATAATTTAATTTATAATTATTTTTTACTATAATTACACTATACCTTCATTTTATTTTTATAAATTACATTAATATAAATGGATTGTTATGAATTTTTTCCAAATATGTATAAAGTTATATAATTATATAATTGCATAAAACATAATATTAGGAGCTTTTGTGATAAAATATTATTTAGATTTAAAATTGTGTACTTAATCCTATTTTCTTTATCTAAATCATACCTTAAATGTTAAGTTGAAATATTTATATTATGCAAATTTGAATAAAATTATAATAAAATTCGATATTAAAAAATATATAACAAGTGTAAATATCATGAACATATATAATTTATATATTTAGAAATTTAAATTTATATTATATGGTAAAAAACTATAAAGTATTTCTTTAGAATTTAAAAATGTTAGTTATATTTTGAAATATAACATTTATTTCTTGTTTATTAAATTAATTTATAATTAACTAAATTATTAATCGATACATTTTCAAGCTTAAAATATAAAACAATAATGAATAGAAAATATATTACGGTTGCTGGTGAATTGACAACTCCAGTATTAAAACCATGTTGAAAAGAAGATCCCAATGCTGCTGCACCAATTGCAAAAGCTAAATGAGGATTAAACCCCTGAAATTTCAAAATAGAATATTAATCTCCAGTTTTTTTTACTTAAGTTTTAATAGTAATTTTTATATCTGGTTGATTTAATTAATTGTTTTTTTTCCAAAGATTCCTGTATTTACTAAGCCGAAAAATTTTAACTCAATAATAAAAATAATAAATCTATGCAATAAGTGTGACCTTAATAGTATCAAGTTAACAATTTATATTTTAAGATTAAATCAGTACATTTAATTATATATTTAGTTGTATAATATTATATAATTATTATATATTAATCAGCGTATTCCATGTACATTAATTATATTAATAATATCATTTATATTTTAAAAGTAATATAAAAATATATATAAAACTATTTTTAAAGAGTATGAAAATCTAGGTTTTTAAGAATTAAACTTTTATGGATCTAAAACGTTAAACGAAGTGGAATTAATTTCCATATATAGGTATATTTATGTTTGAGATACATAATATATTAGATTAAAACTATGTAATCAATCTTGAGCAATAAGTAATTAATTCTTCATGATCGCATTAGAAAATAGATCAAGAAAGAAAGAAATGAAAAATAGTAAAAAATCATAATAATAATTTATCTATTTGATACTAATTGATATGTTCAATAGGTCAAATATGTAAAGAAGAATAATTACACAACAATGACATATAATTCGTAATATTAGCTTAATCACTTTCATTTCATATAGAAAACTTTCATCCTATAAACAAATAATTTTTACAATAATTAGAATATCAAGACTGACGTTTTTCTTTTTAAATACTAAAAAACATCATAATTATTTTTTAAAACTCGTGTTTTTTATTTATTTTTCAAAATAATATTAATATTAATTAATTTCTTATCTTCATAGATGATAATTAATTTAATAAATAAATAATTCATATTATTTGAATAAAAATTAGAAAATTAATATTGTTTAGCAAGGAAATAACTAAACATTTGATTATTCCTTTACTCATTAATAATTTATAATTATTTATTAGAGTAAGCAAATAATACTGTATTAATTATTAAAAATTTCAAGTAAATTTAACTAGAAAACGTTACTGTTCATGGTTTCAATCCATTAATAAGTAAAAAAATAGTAAGCTTATCATTATCCCAATAAAAAATGTGTATACTATATAAGAACCGATAAGATGAATCACCAGACAAATGAGAAATTTTTCATCATTTATTTCTAACAAATCGTTTTTAATATAAATGATTTAAAAGTTAATCATAATACGTAAAAAGAATTTTTAATTCAATGTACAATAAGAACAATTAAATAACAGTAATTATATAACTAAAACAGAAAAAGGCTAAACATGTAAATTAATTTGCTTGTGCATTAATAATGTAAAAACTATTACAAAGTTGTTGATTACGTTATTTCATTATTCGAAGTAACGTGATTAAATAACATAATTATTTAATTTGACGGAAATCATAACGTGGTAATATATATTATAAAATGTATTTTCATTTTAAAAGCATGATAAGTAAAATTTATTTATTAATTTGTCATCCAAAAGCTTTGCTTTAATAAAATGATTATTTTTATTTTTCGTTTGAGGCTAAATTACAACGCCATTATAAGCTTCGTTCACATCTCTTATGCAATATTTTCAAAACTGCAATAGTGTTTTTATTTAATAGTGACGTTACATTTTAATACAAAGCAAACATTTAAAAATATAAGTCGTTATAACTCGAATGACTTCATTGTTATACTCGTCTTTCTCTCTCTCTCTCTCTCTCTCTCTCTTACTCCTACGCTATCTCGCGGCGATAATATTTACCAACGAAGAGTGCGACCTCTTGCCTTGACACCCTGATTTTGTAGAATGGCACGCGCGCGCGCACGTTTTGCCTGCTTTCCTGAAAATATTGCACGTGCTCGCACGAGTGCAATCGAGCAAGAATAAGTAATTGATATCAGCGGTGTTTATCCGATGATCCACTGTCGAAAATGCCAAAAGGGTGAATAAACCCAGAAGTGGAAAAACATGGCGTGATATTTTAATGACATCGCGAGTCGCATACGAAATTACGATTCGATTTGAGCTGTAAAACGGTATTTATTCGATTTGTCAAGCTCGCATACTAGTAAACAAATAAAAATATACAAAAATATTGAATTGACGATCAATTTATCACGCCTTAGGATAGGTCATATTATTTGAAAGTCTAATAATTTCTCAGATATTAGTTGCTTTAATAGAAATTCACAATTAATATTACAAGTCCATTTCTTTATCGAGTACCGTGTAATGTTCATACATTTTATCGTAATGGTATGATTATTTCACAATATGTCTGGGTAGCATTTTAATTGATTATGATTATAATATTATTGTAATATTAATCCCTTGGATAATATTCCAAAATATGGAAATAAAACTGATAATCTTGGATTACGATGAATTTTTTTTAAAACAATTTATTTATAATTAAGGATCGAATTTTTTTTAAACATATACAATATATTATCAATTTAATATTAACAACTAATGTAAATATAAGATTTTTTAATAAAAGATATTTTCTTATTCAATTTTAATTTTTTCAATATTATATATTATATATTATATATTCTTATTAATTCACAATTTATATTATTGTAAAATAAATTTTAAATAGAGAGTATTCCGTGCACACCAACCTTAAACATAAATATATAAAGGTGAAATTATACCACAAATACATAAGAGAAGCACTTTTGGTAAGTTATACAAGTAATATTTAAATGATACGTTATTTTCCTATACTTAAACATATTTATAAATTTAATTTTTTTTGTATTTTATATGCATTTCATTTTCAAATATTTACTATGCAACATTAAAAAAGAGAGGCACCTAAGACAAGAATATAGATAAAATGTTTAAGTCATGATAAATTAATTGATAGTTTATAATTGTTATTTTTTAATAGAACGCCTAATCGATTATGTGAAAATTTTGTCGTGACACCACCTTAAGAAAATAATATTATACAGTACTCCAGCACAGTAATTTATAGGATCCTCATAATATTGTTGAACTTGGGAGTATTTTACAAATAATATCCATAAGAACAAAACGATATTTACATATTTATATTTAGTTAAAGTATAAACTTATCCAATCTTTATTTTATTATCTAAATTTAGCTTTATTAAAGTTGTCAAAAGTTTGGCATGAAAAATTTAATTTTTAATATTATTTTTGACAATTATTTCTTGATTGAAAAAATTAAAGAAAATTAAATAGATTTAAATAGAAATTTTTAAATAAAAAATAAATTAATAATTCAATTTTTTCTACATTCTCTAAGTTTCTTGTTTTTAAAATTTACGTTTTACATCAATTTAATCATGCATAATTAAATTTTTGAACTGCTTGTGTTTATTAATTTAAAATTATCATATAAGTTGCCATTTGGATGCGCAATGATGTACATAATATATTTTATATGAGTAATTATGTTTTTCTGACTCTTTTTTATCAGTTCTTTCGTTACCTCGCTTCGTTTTTTATAATGTATGACAAATTTGTACATTATAATAATGTTATTGGTTTGTATAATCGTGATTGTCAAATTAAATATTACTATTATTTTTTAATATAAAACATTAATATATAAGCAATCATTTTTATTATTTACAAATAATTAAAAAATAAATTGCATTAAATTTATTTACAAATAAATATTGTAAATATATATTTGAATAAAAAATAGAATAAATATTATTTATAAATATTTTATTTGTATTCAAAAAATTAAATTGAATAGTATTTATTGATTTTTAATATAGACAAATTTGTCATTGTCATTTCGATATTTTCATAATGTTCGTTAATATGATCGTCCATCAATAAAATATTTATTCGAACTAAACTGATCGAACTATAAAACATCTTTATGAATAGATAATATATTGAATAGAAAGTAAATAAAAGTGTTTCTCATTTTTATTAATAATTTTAAATTCAAATACTTTAATGTTTAAATTGTATATTAAATAAAATTATTCTCAGTCAAATGAAAGTTCTATTTAATGAATGTGAACATAAATTGTTATAAAACCCTTATTCTAATCTTGAATTATTAAAAATAGTTTTTCTCTTCTCAATAAAATTCGATTTGCGTAAAATAATTTAAAAACATATTTTGAGAAAGTTTTATTTCAGTGTTCAAATCAAAATTTTATTTGAATCGATTTTTCAAATTTCAGAAACTGATGTTATTACTCATAATACAGATTTTCTTTATGTATTTCTCATTTTTTTATACCATTATTTTGATCAATTATTTATTATCGCTTAAGCAAGGCTACTACTGACTTTCCTATAAAGTAATACATACTTATATCTGGTGTTTGTGACGTTATCTCTTCTAGCGAAAACACATGGCCTCATTTTAATTCATAATAAAAGATTATTAAAATGCTTTTACCCGAAGTTGTATTACATTTTTTGCGTGCAAATTTAATAATTTCGAAGCTATACAATGCCATCTGTTTAATTTTGTAAACTTTGATATTATATGTAATACTCTCATCGACTGATATATTCGTTATAAATACTAAATGAAACCTACCGAATTAAAAGTCAAACAAAATCGTTATCTTAAGAAGATAAATAAAAAAAAAATTTTTCATATAACTTATAATTGTTTAAGTAAGCATAAATTTTATCATTAGTTGTTCATTTATAATATTAACATTATTGTTTATCAATATTATTTAGTTATAGTGCATTAAATATCAGCAATAAAAAATTCTAAATTAATACTAATTTCTAAATCAAAGGAATAATTAGTAAAACTAAACAGTATAAAGCTAAACGAAACTAACTAAATAGTAATGTAGTTGAAATATATTTTTCACAAATTACAGCTCGTTGACCGCTTTCTTCCTCATAACACGCATGCACGAGCGCGCGCACGCACATACGCACACCAAATCGTTAAAACTTACTCGAACGGACCTCTTGATATACGGCATCACGATCTT